AAACACATCGTCGTCATCGTCGTCGCGGTTGAGCGTGTATCACCTGCGTGGAGAGATAACGTTATAGCAGCACGCGATCGACAAATGAACCAATTTAAACGAGGAGAAAGAGAGAGTGAGCTATAGCGCAAGGTGTTTATCTCGCGTGCAGGGGGGAAAGAGCGGCGATACACACAAACGTCGCTATTATTTACTTTGAACGAGAGCAGAGACCCTTGCCAGCCAAGCATCAGCAGCGGGCACACAGCTGAGCACATGCATTAAAATTCTTCAAACATTTTCAAAAAAAAAAAAAAAAAAAAAAAGAGAGAAGAGGAGAGAATCCGTTCGACGAAAACAATGACCTCTACGAGACGTGAAATACGCTCGAGTTTACAAACTATATATATGTAGAATATAGCATTCATGCGAGGCATCGTCGTCGTCGTCGACTCCAGCCATGCTTCCTTGACACGATTCTCTGTGCGCCAAGCAGCACCAGTGGCAGCTAGCAGCTTCAGGCAACTTTTACCACCCCCTACTACCTCTACTGCTGCTGCTCTCAAACCAACAGCTTCTCTTGAGAAGCAGCAGCAGCAGCAGCAGCAGCGCTACAACCCTCTTCTTCTAGATATATACCATCTACCTACCCGCACACGGTCTGTTGCTGCTTTTTCTTTTTCTCGTATATATACTTTTTTTCACGCGCGCACTCTCGCTCGCTTGCTCGGGCTTGCTTTTCGCAAATTGAAAGGGCTTCTTTTTTTTCAACATCGTCTACTGCCGCCTGGCACTGCGCTGATACTCCGGAGCAAGAGAGAGAGAGGAAGAGGTTTGAAATTATTTTTTCCCTCCTCTCTCTCTCTCTATCTCTTTTATTTTTGAGAAAGTCAAAATATTGTTTTAACTCCCGCAAAAAGGGAATAGGTTAATTCATATGCTGTGAAAGAAAAAAAACTCGATTTGCCGCAGTTTGGTCAAAATAGCCAAGGGAAACGAAAAGTCGCTGTGTGCGGCGGCGGCGGCGGCGGCGGTGGTGGTGGTGGTGGTTTTTGAGCTCGCATGCTTCAATCGAAAAAAAAAAAAATAATAATGAAATTCCATTAACCTGGAATCGGACTGTATATAAAACAGAGCGCAGCGCATATGTGAAAATATATATATTCACTGCTATACGTACGGAACGAAAGTTAAAGGGGGAGAGCCTTGTGTCTTTGTACGCGCGATATATAATACCTACTTGTTAGTCGATGTAGATAACCCATACGCTTATAAGAGTCGCACACACACACGCATGCTTAAATTCAAAAAAACGCGATCGCACGCGTACGTGTATGAATAAGTATATCCTCAAAACTTTTCGCGATTGCTAGTAGGCTTATACATACGAGAATATAAATTTTTCAAAAAGGAAAAGTTGTGCATATTATAACGAGAGGCTTTTGACTCGACTTAATCCTTCGTATACAAGTTTTTGGCATGGGCTTTAAAGGAATTTTGGTCGATTTGCCAGCAAATCGAACGTCTACTCCAACTCCTCTCAAATTTGCAAATGTCTTTGTGTGTATATGTGTGTGTGTGTGTGTGTGTGTATGTACCTACTCTGCAGTAATGACGCAACGAATTATCTTTCCTATTGTTTTTCGCCCGCGTGCACTGTATATACAACCAAAATATAGATATATCTCTGTAATGCCGATAAGCAACCTGCGCCACTGCTACACGTTTTTTGCACGATATATATATTTTTTCGTCCATACTATTATTATCGTCTCTCTTTGCCAACATTTTGTCTCTCGCATTCGCTATACATACACGCTTTTTTTTTTATTTCTTTGATTAATCGACGTTTCACCGAAAAAGCGTTACAGCGGAAAAATGTTTTTTTTTTTTTTTTGAGGTCTTTTCTTTTTAGGTACAACTATAGGCTAAAATAATAGATAATTTACGACCGCTAATACCTACTCCAACACGCGTGCGCGCACACACACACATTTTACATGTATTATTTATTATTTATTTGCTCTTTTTTTTATATTCTACGGTGGCATGTGCCGTGGTGCCGAGGGATATACGCGTGGGGGCAAAGCCGCGCGCACACACACGTATAAAGAGTGAATCTTTATTAAAAAATAAAAATAGAACACGACTGTTGCGTCTGAATAAACCGAAAGTATACGCGAAAAGAACCCGACATTGATTGAAATATGCGGAGAAAGAAAAAAGAGAGAAGAAATTGTAGGTATGCACCGCAAAAGAGAGAGAGAGAGAAGCGGAGAGCAAAAAATGAAAATTGATGCGCGCACTGCAGCTGCAATAGCGAGAGGCCAAAAAAATGTTCGGAAGATTGCAAAATCGCAGCTTCTCTCTATTATTACTTTTTGTTTTGTTCTTGTTTTTGTTTCACGATAACCTAATTAGTTGCTTTCAACGATTTAGATGTACATGAGAAGCGGGACGAGTGCAAAAGGTGAAATCTCAACTGAAGTATCATTTTACCACAACGGCGCATTTATCAAATTATAAATATATAAATAAACATCGGACGACTTCGTAGCTGCAGCAGCAGCAGCAGCAGTTCTCATAATTTAAATATAATGCTCGAGCACGTCATTGGCGAGGCGGCGGCAGAACCGGTTTTCGCGAGGACGATTTTCCTTCTTAAGCGTGTTAGTGCTACGAGACGACAGAACGAGAGAGAACGAAAAAAAAACTGCTACACATGCGCGCGCGTGCAGCTACCTTGTGGCTATTTAAACGTCAAAGAATAACAGTTATTTGCTGCATGCAATCAGATTTTTTTCATTCTCTCTCTCTCATTTCTCATTCGAGCAGCAGTAGTGTTACGCAATGTTTTATTATAAAAAATATATTCAGAAACACCTTCGTTGGGTTACATACACGCGGAGTGTGTGTATACAATTTTTTTCTCTACTCTTTTTTCCGTAGTACTAGGTGTACAAGCTTTAATTTTGGCTAGCGTGTGTTTTTATGCACTCGCGCGAGTGCAAGAAAGCGTCGGAGTACAGCAGCACAGAGAGAGCTTGTGTATGTGTGCTCAAATGTCCCAAATAAGAAATAAAAGCAACAGGGGGAGAATGAGAGAGAGAGAGAGACGCGAAAAGCGAAAAGAGAGCTTGAAAGAGATCGATGCACAAAAAGTGCACTTTTCTAATGCCCTGCAAAACTTACACGCTCGCGCGTGTTTAAATGTGTATAAGCTACTTATCCAGCCGTACGTATGACGTACTTATCGGCCAGATTTATTGCCGGAATGATAGTATCGCCCGAGAGAAGCTTTTTATCGAAAAAACCGTATCGATCAGACAGCGTTCCTTTTTTGCGTTTCGTCGTTTTTTCTCACTCTTTCGCGTGCGCGCGCTAATTTTACGATAAACCGTATACAAGCCAATTACTTTTGGGGGATACGACTCTTTGAATAGAGAGCTTGGGAAAAAAATGCGAGAGAGAGAGAGCCAGTTAGTTGATCGTAAAGTCCCAGGTGTCGGAGAGAGAATATGGCCATAACGCGCGCAAGCTGACGAGCAAACATAAAACTAAAATTTTATCAACACTCGCGCACAGACTCACTTACTCGCGAAGCTCGCAAGGAGAATACCTGAAGCGATTTGAGATAAGCTGCTGCTCGCGGTGCGCGAGCTCGACAACTGCGCTCAAAGATAGCAACGCAATCGTTTTCTTTTTCGGTAAAAAAAGGAGTTCCGATTCTCCAGACTATTGAGCAAAACGAAAAAAAAAAAACGAAGAAAATCATAATATTATTGTGTATTTCAGGGAAAAAGTCCTAGTGGCCTATAATTCGCAGGCGTATAGAGTCGTATATTTTGATCTTTAATATTTGTTCTTTCAGAGGCAGAGAGAGAACAAGGAGAAGATAAAGGTTCAATGACCTGGGATGCTCAACTTTGGCAAATGTTTACCTTTTGTGTAAGTTTATACGTGTTGTGTGTATATATCAACCCCGTACCTATAGTGTCTGCTTCATTCGCGTTTCATGAAAACGACTGCGGAATAGTGTGCTGTAACTCGGTGGATTTTGTAAGCCTTTCATGCCTATTACTTTTAAAAAAAGTGATGAAAAGAGAAAATGAGGATTTTATTTGCTCAAAGAGATGAAGGAAATTAAGCTATCGTTTACGATCTTTAAAAGTTCACATTTTAATATAAATAAAGTGAAATCTGGTGGAATATTTCAGATTGGAATGTACATGAAGTTGTTTACTGCTTTGTTGACATTTAGATAGGTACTATCTATACACTGTACAGTGTATATCAATTCTACCTCATGAATTTATATATTTTTGATAGACTCTAATCTCTGAGAAATAGGATTAATTCAAGAGAAGTATGAAAAATTTTAAGTTTATTGCAGGTAGTTTTGAATGTGTACTGTTACCTTGAGTTCAAACATTTTTTTAGCTTTAGTAGTAATAACATTGATAGTAAACAAAAGTTTAGAGATTAATTTAAATTTACGATTCTAAACATTAAATAATTTAAGCTAGTTTGGATATTTGTTACAAAAAGCTAATAAAAGTTTAACATTCAAACATAACAGGGCAAGCGGTTTCAAATATTTTACTTCAAAATTAATGGATCATTAAAATCTATATTCAAACTTGACCAATTATACCAATATTTGTTTGTATTCAACAGGTTAATTATAATAATATATATTAGCAGCAAATAAAGTACTTCTTTAGATAATAAACATTAGTTTATAAATGATTATATATTATGATCTGTCGCTACCGGTATAGAAAAATGGTAAAACTTATTATGGCATACTATTGCGAGCATATAATTGTGGGTTATAGATTGAAATTTTGTCTTATCAAAGGAATACATATTTGTATAAATATTCTTCTACTTGAATCCACTACTTGGATTTAAATGTACATTAGTACTTGCATTCAGTTATCTTTTCATTCTTTAAATTGTAACTTAAAATGTATTATTCATGTATCGTGCAATGTTAGCTTCAAAATATTAAATCTTACCATATAGATCTTCAACAGTTTCAGAGGAAAATTTTCAGAGCTGCATAGACACAGAACTCATGACACTTTATCACAGATGTACCTAAAGAACTATTTGCAAGTTTTTGTATATACCGTATATCACTAAGCACACTATTGCTCGTACTTTATCATAGCAAGAGAGTCATCGAGTACACAAAGAGCACACATAGACACACTTTGAGATCACTTTTTTCTCTTGTTATAGAGGGGGTGGTTAATGCAAAAACAAAAACTTAAAAAAAAAAACGAAGAACAGAAAATTAAAAAAAAAAGGGACATGCACTCTTGTTTTGTTGTGGGACAGCTTCAGCTCAATTCTTGATTGTCGCTCTTCTGTAGGGTAGCATCTTACTATAGCCTGCTACATGAAGAAAGAGTTGACTGTCGTCGTCGCTGCTGCGAGATGTAGAAGCTATTCCTTTCCCGATTCCTTCGCGAACTACCCCCGAGCAGATGATTCGGCCGACCGAGTACATAGAGAAAAATGAACGTAGCAGGCAATATCCTCTCTCTTGCTTGCTGTCTCTCGCGAAACGCGTGTTAAAGAGTAGTCGTGTGCTATCGAGAGAGAGAGAGAGAAGTAGTATATTTCTGCGTTCTGAAACAGACAGAGTGTCGGCAGCACATATAGCGCCGCCTTGCTATTAATATGGCCGTCAGATGTATATACAGTACATAACACGGGCTACACACACCACCAACTACTACTACTACACATCTACACGTAAGCGTGAAATTCACAAACACAAAGACATGCACTTTTGCTGCACGACTACGACGATAATTACAATGCACTCACATATACATAGAAGCACGCCCGCGAAGATGATGGATACAATGAGACACCGTCTGCAAGGAAATCGTTTTTACTACTGAACCGTTGTGTCGCGAACGTTAAAAATGACGAAGTTCTTCTACTCAACGCATGCCACGACGTTCGAGTTCGTTCCTATATGTATATGTGTGAGTTTACGTGCGTTCGCATGTATGAGAGTGTATATCCGTGGTGCGTGTACAGTCTATGTGTGGAACTCTGGACTCGACTGCTGCTGCTGCTGCTGCTTTCAGCTTCGCTCGGCACGGCTGGCTCGAGTCGCGGATGTACCTATGTATGCGCGCGCGTGCGAGTCATTCATTAGAAATATATAACCGTATATTACCAAGTTCAGCAGTAAACTCGTATTATGCTGAACATGTATTTGTATGTATCGAGATGATGATGCCACACACATGCACACTGATATGGTCGTTTTCGCGAGGAAGAGGGTATATATTCATAATGAGAGAGTGAGATGGAGAATATATACGGATGAAGCGATGTGTTGGTGGCGAGGCACAGAGGGCGCCGGGGAGGGAAAAAAAGTCAAACGAGCCGTGAATGGGCAAAACATTGGTGCGTTTTTTTTGAAAAAAAAATACGATGATGAAATAATAGAAAAAAAAATTCAGAACATGCGCGCGGAAGCGGCGGATGCAGCTATGGTTTCCGAATTCAAATTACTGTGCAAGGCGTTTAAAAGTCTGCAACGACGTTCGAATTTTGTTGTGGTTGTTACTCGGGGAAACAAATGTCATTGCGTTTTTATCCTGATCCTTCGTGTGTATTAATGCAACATAAAGGGCGTCTACGAATTCGCATTACACACGAGGGCGCGTTTATATTAAAAAAAAAAAAAAAAAAAAAAAAACCACCTACCTACCCTAAGCGATCTGGGAATGCGGTGTTAGTGTGTACGTGCGCGCACACACTCACATGTGTGGGTGCGTGGGCGGAATGTTTTAATTACACTGGCTCGACAAAAATTTTATTTTTATCCCTAATTTTTTATTATTAAAAATTTCATTGTTAATTAATCCAACAAAAGAATGAAATTTCGAAAAAGAGAGAAATGCTTCGATTATTAAATACCGTGATATGCACGTACAAAATGCATTTATTGTAGGAGATCTGCATATGAAATTAAGAACGTGAATAGAAAATCGAACGAGCGGAAGTACTCAAAAATGCATCAAAAGAAAAAAATTGTAGGTGTGTTTATGAAGTCTATATAAATGTGGATTCCTAGAAATTTTAAGATGATGAATGAGAATTTTGATATACGATCGGTATAGACAGAGAAAGTTAATACATCTGCATGACTAAGCGGGTTGGAGATCTCATTTGGTTTTAGATTTCGAGTTTTTGGAACTTTCTTTTATCCTCCTTCTCTCTTTCTCTTTTAAAATGAAGTTAAAAGTAAAGAACACGTGTTCTTGTGCGCGACAAGACGAGAAGAAGGCATGGAATATTATGACAAGATAAAATAATAATAATCAAGAGCGCGCACAAGGCACGAGCCCATGCTCAAGGTGACATAATTGCCAAGTTTGAACCCAATGCCACAGGAGAGCTCGCGGTCTCGCGTGTTTATTATATAGATTAGAAGAGAGAATTCGCATAAAAATCTGAATAAAACGCTCGCTGTATAACCTCAAAAATAGGTATATATATATAATAATGCAGAGGCAGAATCTCTGGTTTTCCTTTTCTTTTTCGAGTATTTCGAGGCGGATATTTCAAAGTCAAAATTGCATGTTTTCAATTCGAGAGAGGGACGCGATGCACGAATGCGATTATGCGCTCGGAATCGTACTTATACGTATATATCAAGCGTGTGTATACGTGCAGAAATATACTGTATACGCGAGGGGGAGTCGCTTTAATATCCTATTGTATTATTTACGAGTGCAAAACGCATAGCAGCAAATGGCCGTCAATGCTTTCTTTTATTTATTTATTTATTTTTTTTTTTGCAAAACTTGACCATAAATGATTAATTATAATCCAGCCTGCTTGTCGGTTAGCGTTGCGTGCATGTGCATTTAAGTAAGAGAGATGAACAAATTGTAGCCGCCGAAAGACGAAAAAATTATTGTAGATACCGAAAAATGAACAACATGTTACATACCCATATAGCGAAAGAAAGAGTTAGTTATCGATAAAGCAGATTAAACCAAGAAGTACACACGGGGGGATGATGCGAGCCGCGAAACAAAGTCGGTATATAGATATCATCCCTCTCTGTTGATGCTTTTCAATGTTTATATTATTATATTGTCTTCGTCGCGATGGAAAAAAGATAACACCTGTCCGTCGCGCGCCCAGGGCGTGTTCGCGAAGCTCGTTATTTTTTTTTTGTTTACATTTTTAAAGGGAATTCGAAAAAGTTTCGCGCGAGACAAAGTTATTTCACGCTTTCGCGAGGTTGGTGCTGCTAAAAAACAAAGAAAATAAAGGGAAAAAAGAGGAAATAATAGCGAAGGACGCGAGTAGCCGGAGTTGTATACAACACAAGCCGAGCAGACAGAGTATACACGGCTAACACACACACACACACATGCGTGCATACATGGTTGCGAAAGCCGTGTATTGATACATGTGCGTAAAAAAAAGCGGAGAGAGAGAGAGAGAGAAAGAGAGAGATATCTATATATCAACACTGGATTTGGCATCATACACACAACACAACACACATACACGTGCATTTGGGGACTGGTGTTTAGGCGTGCATATTTATAAATATACTAAAAAAAGAATTAAAAATATAAAATAAATACCTTGTAGCTGTCCTCTGCTGTGCTGGAGCTAATTATCTGGATTTCGCACTCGAAAATTAATGAATTTCGATATCAACAAACTAACACGAGAATTGTTGTACAACTGCGACGGAGCAAATTTACTTCAGCACTACCCACGTTATAGACTGGTGTGGAATATATATGATGAACGACGACGAACTAGTCGACCCAAAAAAAATTTAACAGGCAGGAAATTTTCGCTGAGTCTAAATGAGCTGCTGTGTGCTACGTCTTTCTCTTACGATATCAGAAGCGAGAGTGAACCCAAGAACGTGTAAGGCCCACGAAGTTACCGAGGAGGCAGACGACACGCGCTCGGAAGGCCCGCAGGAGCGGGGGGGCAGCGGAGTGGGAGTTGTATATAGCCCACACGAGAGCGAGAGAGACAGACGCTTAGCGGGGCCTTGCTCCTGCATTCACACACGCACCGTACTAGCTATACTATGTATTATACTGTATAAGAGAAAGTCGTAGCAGGCTCCTCGCTTTACGTAGACGCCATCTTAGCCTATCGGAGCAGCGTTAGCGTACTGTATAATGTACTGTGGAGCTCTCCCCACTTCGCGAGTCGGTGGCTGCTTCGACGCCTTCCTCTTGCTCCGTTCTTCCCCTCGCCTGCCGATGGCGACGCTCCTCGACTGATCCGCTGCGCACGCGAGCGTACGCGTGACTGCGCAAGGCGGAATAATTTAAATCCACAAAAACGTTTTCTTTCACCATTATGATGATAATTAATGTTTTTTTTTTTTTGTAAATTAGTTGCAACGAAAAATAAAGAATAAATATTGATGCTCTACAAAATATTTGAAAGATAAACATTGTACTTCCTTAGGGGACGGATAAAAATAAGTCTAGAAACTTATTATTCTATGTAAAACAAAGAGGTTTCTTTAAATATTTGGCACGTGCATGCGCTTATTGATCAACAATCGTGAGAATCGATTGATAGTTCTTAACAATTGATGTACCAAAGATTTTTCAAAGCAAGCACTTGTGAACTTTTATAAACATTTGTAGAAAACATCATTTCGACAGCGTATACAGATTATTACTTTTTTCTTTTAGCAGGTAGTACCAAAATTGAACATTTAACTATTGAACTGTAAATCAATTTAAAAAATAGCTTAAAAAACAATTTATAAAGATTGTACCTATGGATTTTATCTACACTATCAAAATTCACTCTTTTTATAACGACTCATACAATTTTATAAAAGTTCACAATAGAGTACTTTGCAGCTTCGCTTAATAAATATCTATAATAAAAGTTTCAATGATACAGAGACGGTTTGCTATGTATAAATAATTGTATATATTATCGTCTTAAAAACAGATTGGAAGAACGCAGATTCATAATCACAATATTATGCTCTCTGAAACAGTTTTCAATGAGCAGAAGGCACGTGTTATAAGTTACAATTATTCAACCTTCAACAAGTAAAGGCAGTGCTGCGCACTCGCATATTTGTACAAAAAAGACTCCTCAAGTAATAACAAATATTAGATTTTTTTAAACTCGATCAAGGCATCGCACACAATGCCTCTACGAGCTCGAGTACAAAAAAAGGAAAACAACTTCATCATTTCCTCTCTGTCTCTCGTAGAAACTCGGGCTTAGTGCCTGACAAAGTTTTCGATTTGCTTGGCGATGCTTTCGGCATCGATTCCGTAGCGTCGGAGGAGCTCGTCTGGCTTGCCAGACCTTGGCATCTCCTTGACGGCTACCTTCCTGACGACGATACCGGCTTCCTCGGCGACGGCCTCGAGGACGGCTTCGCCGAGACCACCCTGCATGTAGTGATCCTCCACGACGACGATTTTGCCTCCGCAGGCGCGGGCGTGTTCGATGATGAGCTCCTTGTCGATGGGTTTGACGGTGAAGGGGTCAATGACTCTGACATTGATGCTCATCTTGGCGACGATGTCGGCGGCTTTGATGGACTCGTGCAAGGTGATACCGGCACCGATGACGAGGGCCTGGTCGTTGTCGTGCTTCAGCACAAGCTTGCCCTTGCCTATGGCCAAAGGCTCGTCATTCTTATAGATCACCGGGGTGGTAGGGCGAGAGGTGCGGATGAAGCAGATGCCCTGCGTGTTGGCAGCCAGTTCGACAGCGCGCTCGGTCGAGACGGCGTCACTGGGGTAGAACACGGTAGAGCCGGGGATCGAGCGGAACATAGCGATGTCCTCGAGGGCCATCTGCGAGGGTCCGTCTTCGCCGATGGAGACGCCGCAGTGAGAGCCGACGAAGTTCACGTTAGTCTGAGAGATGGCACCCATTCGAATCTGATCGAAGGCGCGGGTGAAGAAGGCTGCGAAAGCGGAGACGAATGCCACGGTCCTGTCGCGACATGCGGCGCCTATGGCAACACCAACGAGGTTCTGCTCGGCGATATAGCCCTCGACGAAGCGGTTGGCATCGATACCTTTGATCTTCTCGGCATAGGTAGAGTTCTTGGTGTCGCCATCAAGACCAATGACTCGCTGGTTGTTTTTGGCTATCTGTAATCAATGAGAAATAGTTCAGCATAATTGTTTTTAGTTTTTAGTACTGAATCTGTGAATCTATCATAGGCTAGATATGCTATGATCATCACACAATCGAATCTTAAATTTTCAGTAAAACTTCAAACAGCTGTATTTCCAGTTCTAGAGGACTTAGAAACTTTTTACATACACCAAATTAAAGGTAATTTTATGCTCTTTAAGACCATATAACTATCATTGGGGTTCAAGTGTGCCTAGAATATGTAACTGTTACGAAACTGAAAAAAAAAATAACAAATGTAGTTTCGAGCGCGACACAAAATGTTGGACGTTTTATACTGTAACTTCAGTAAAAATTTAAAAAACACTATACAAATTTATATGGTTGAAAAGGCCTTTAAAAGACGAAGAAATTGGTTACTCGTTCGCCTTAATAGCAGCAAAATTACGCAACCTACAGCTGTGCGAAGATAGAAAAAGAACAAAAAAAAATTAATGTAACGTAATTTTTCAACCTTCCTAAGACAATATCTTTGCTTCTAAGGCACCTAAAGGGCTAAAATTTTACAGAAAAACTTCTTTAAACATGTAAAACAAGCCCTGAAACTTTCAGCCCAATCGGCCAATCCAGCGCAGAGAAATTTGGCAACGATTTATATACTGAAGCATAAAGATATTGTTTTTACGAATTGCAAACTTCAGGCTTCATGTGCCACCTGAAGACATCATTTGTTTGCGCCCAGTTCGCGGCTTTTACCTTTTTTATCTTAAACTTTCATTAAAATACTATTACAAAGCGATCGGCGTCAAAAGTGTTTTTTCGTTCCGCCCTAATGATTAATCATACGATTTTTCCCAGCAAGGGAAGCAAACCCTTATATTTAATATAAAAACCATTGAAGAGGGAGTGCCAAAATATAATTTCAAGTCTGAATTTATTAATGTCATTGAAAATGAAGAAACTAATTTTGAAAATAGCTTTAAAAAACGTACATTTAGAGCACAACAATTCAAATAATTTAAAAGAGTTTGAAGTGAAGGCATGAAAATTCAGATATAACTATGCCATCTTATCATGAAGAAAATATCGATGCTAATCTTTTACGAAACCGAACAAATTCAGGCAGTTTGATGATTCAACAGTCGGGGAGTTTTATAATTCACTTCAAACTCTTTTAAATTTATTATTCAAATTGTTGTGCTCTAAATGTATATTTTTTAAGCTATTTTCAAAAATAGTTTCTTCATTTTTAATGACATTAATAAATTCAGATTTTAAATTATATTTTGGCATCTTCTCTTCAATGGTTTTTATATTAAAATAAGGGTTTGCTCCCTTTGGTTTTTTTATATGATTTATCCTATGATTTTTCCACGATTTTTCTCAGCTAGGCGTGAATGAAAGTTGCGATCTTTTTGACAGATGTTCGATAGAGAATTTTCGTTACATTTACATAATTTTTGATTGCTGAAAATTTCTTGGATTTGAATGGAACGCGACTACATTTTCCATTGCGAGATAAAATCTGCCTGATTTGAATAATATCGCCTGATTTTGTTTGATTGATTACATAAACCTTGGGTAATTTAAAATGAATCACATTAATTCTCGTTTTCGTCTCCAAACAGAATACAAAGATTTACGAGTCATAGGTTGACTACAATAAACTCATTTATCATTAGATATGTTTATGATACCTTAGCCAGAGCAGTTCCGTAAGCAACACGAGTAGCTACTTGTTCGCCGAGCTTGTAGCTTGGTTGACTGTCGAGCTTGACATTGCTGATGTTGACCTTTGGAGCATCTTCCACTGGAGCAAGGATCTTGCGATCGAACGAGCTGCTCTTAATCATAGCCTGGAGGTGCTTGATGACTTGTTGACCGGACTCACCGACGATGGGCTTGCCGTGCCAGCTGAAATTGTCCTCGATGCCGTTGACGAAGTTCTTTCCCTTGAAGGTCTTGGCGATGATGGCGGTGGGACGGCCCTTGGTCTCGGCGGCCTCGTGGAAGGCTTTGACGAGCTCTTCGACGTCGTGTCCATCGACTACCAGGGCGTTGAAACCGAAAGCCTCGACGCGCTTGCGATAGACCTCCATGTTGTGTTGAAGGGCGGTGGGCTCGCTTTGGCCGAGACGGTTGACGTCGAAGATGGCGCAGAGATTGTCTAGCTTGTAGTGCGAAGCGAAGGCGAGAGCTTCCCAGATGGAACCTTCGGCGGACTCACCGTCACCGATGAGGCAGTAGGTTCTACAAATGAAAGGGATAAATTTTATTAAACGAGGGTTGAAAATTTACGCGCAAAAGAGAGAGCAGGTTGTACCTGTAGCTGGCTTTGTCGAAGTACTTGCCAACGTAGGCCATACCGGCGGCTACAGACAGACCCTGTCCGAGGGAGCCGGTGGCGACATCGACGAAGTTCAATCTTGGAGTCGGGTGACCTTCGAGGTCGCTCTCCAATTTGCGGAGATTCATGAGGTCTTTGGTTGGGAAGAGACCGGCTTCAGCCCAGGCTGTTTAATTGAAAAAAAAAACATTGATATTATATTCATCGTCTTTAAGCTTATTAAAAATTGTGCGAATAAAAAACAGACCTGCGTATAGGATGGGGGCGGCGTGACCCTTGCTGAGGATGAATCGATCGCTGCTTGCGTCTCTTGGCTCGGATACCTTGTATCTCATAGTGTGGAAAAAGAGTACAGACATTATTTCGGCCATGGACGAGCATGATGTTGGATGACTGTAAACCATTTTGGCAAAAAATTAGTTTTAGATAATGGCATAGGGTAGTCAGACCAATCAATGACCGGGTACCAGTGAATGACCATTTTGGAAAATATCATATGAAAAACAATTAAAAATATATTTGTATGGACGTAATTCGATTCTTCAGTGAACGATGCATCTCATTTTCTATGTTTGATCATAATTTAACAAAGAAAAACGATAATTATAGCACATCCAAAAGTGGTCATTTACTGGTCGAAAGCGGTCAATCACTGGTATAAGTACCCTACATGAAAAATTATACAATAAAAAATTATAAGGACAGTGTTCAAAGCTATCAAAAAGTCTGTTATTTTTTCATGTGTAATATCGGCTTCGTAATCTTTAAAATTTTTCGATTATACTGCAATTACAGAACTCATTCTACACTTTCGATGAAGCAAATGGTGTTTACTTTTACTTTTAGGTAAAAACAATATAAGATACTCATAACAAAATTAAGTTTGGAAAAATTATTGGATCGGGGTACAACTGAACATTCCAGCTGAGAGAAGATTTTATTTACTTTTTAAATCTTTACATATTATTTATGCTAAGGAAATATCGCTGATCAAAGATTTTATTAGCTATTATTGCATACAATCAATACCGTTTACAACTATTATAAAATATTTGAATTTCTTTAATACTTTGAATTTGCTAAAATGTTTTCCGTAAGTGCGATAATGTTCTACTTATATCATCGATCTCGATTATACAAGGAAAAATTTTAAACAACGATTAAACAACAAAACTCTACACTATGTATAGGAGTCAACGCACTCTATCGGGCGGTAATCGGCAAAGATTTTTTGCCCCTCGCTTTCAAAATACGCAAGTATGTATAAGTATGTAGTTTGCCGCGCGATTCGTATAACGAGCTACGATCGCCTCAATGCGCAAACTGTGACCTTTGCCGTTGTTGTGCAGTATATAGTATCGAAAAAGCTGCAAAATGTAACGCTCATACGATCGTCAAAGTTTCGATGAATACGCATCGCCATATATTACATAAAGCAAAAAAGTTGCTTTATCATATTTTTAATATTAAAGTTAATAATAATCAATAATATTGTTTATTTCACGAAGATAGAACTGTATATACGAGGGTGAACGCAAAAAAGTATTCGTCATGGAGAAAATTAATGAGATTTAGGTTCCATAATTTCAAATGATGAGTCATCATAATATGAGTTCAATTACTCGTACATATAATTAGTGATTGATGACTTCATGAATTAATGGTAGATCTTAGAACAATGATAGAATTGACTAAAATAAATAACCATTTATTATGCCCGTAATTGAAATTCGATCGTACATTTTATCAGAGAATCTCCGTGACTTTATATTTAATGACTAACGTCACAAGCAAGCAGAGCAATATCTTTTGTAACTGCATTTTTCGAAATAGTTTTTTTTCTAAATTTTCCTCGAGTACGATATCGACGGCGGTACACAAGAAAGCGCAAAATCGATACGCGCCTATGTTATATTGCAGCGCTGCTAACGTTGCGCGCGGAGGCATTCACGCAGCTGCGCCACGAATCTATCGCGAATTTTATTCGTCGATATTCGCGCGAACAGAAGCGTTTCGAGCGTTTGAGAAAGAAAGGGTTTGGCTTTTTAGGATTATTTTCTTTCTTTTTCGGTCATCGGGTCGGATATTATATCGTAGGCTGAGTCACGATGTTTTAGCGCAATTTCAATTATTATCGGTTTGTTTTTAAATGAGCTTGCGAGAAATTCGATACGGGGAACGACGAGACGGCTGACGCTCTTACGTCTCGAGCGAAGTAATCAATAAACGACTGCTGCATGGGGTATCTTTTCGTGTATGCCGTAATTTTTTGATTGCGGTTTTGTAATTAATTTTGTTATTTTTGCGAAACAAGAGCTAATTTGTTTTTTTTTGTCGTAGATAAAGTTTTTTACCCGCTATTTGAAGCAGCAGTCATCTGCACACTGAGTATTCTCAATCTATGCGCTCTATCCTTAAGCTTTTGCGAAGCCACTGTTTTCACCATTTTTTCCAAAAATTCACTACTATTACGCGCACAAAAATTTAAATAAGAAGGTCAAATGTATCGACGAGAAAAATGAAAAGAAGCTAAACTAAAGAGAGAGAAAAGCAAACGAAGGGGGTGCAACGGTCGATATCTCCTCGGCTGCAGTCGGCGGTGGTAGTAGTCGTCGGACTGAGCGCAGAAAATATCCTATCGGCGCGTCTAAGCTCTCGCGCTCGATCCATACACATGACACAAGTACAGACACATACATATACATGGATGGACTTTTGCACGTCGGCTCGTCACACGGATTCGCGACTCGTATGGCCGTGTTCGTACTGCCAACTCGTACTCGTGCGCATGGCCGTGCCGCTGCGATAGTAGGGGCCAAGCTAAAGACTCAAGGTATATCTATACGTAATATTGTGAATGAAAATCGAACGATTCGCCGAGTGCACACTATAAGCACATCATGCGATTACATATATAGCACCGCGCGCGGTATCCTGTGTATGCGTGCGCGAATCGATTTTTGTCTATTGCGGGATGATAGGACGCGCATTCGGGCTAGGAGATCTGTACCCAACAGAGTCGAAAAATTTGTTTAATTTATATCTTTTTTTCTAAATCGAATATCGAAAAACGTGAGAGCATTCATTTTGTTGCTCTGAATAGCTGGTAAAAATTTTAGCTAATTCCACCGACCAGATTTTTCGGAAAACGTGCTTGAAATTTTCACACGTTTCCCCGGCTTGAAATTTACAAACACGTTTTCCGAAAAATCTGGTCGGTGGAATTAGCTAAAATTTTTACCAGCTATTCAGAGCAACAAAATGAATGCTCTCACAGAGCCGTTTTTCGATATTCGATTTGGAAAAAAAGATATAAATAAAACAAATTTTTTCGACTTTGTAGGTTAATAAGTGGGGTACAGACCTCCTTAAGTTGAAAAAGGAGATGACTAGAAATGGAGGAATTGTTATGCAAATTTAGTTTTAAAATATTACCTATAGAGTCAAATTTCAATTCGTCATGGAGGATAATCGATCATGTTTCATTTTAGAGGTGTGTGCTTGTCAATGAAAATATTATACTTTAAATTCCTTCATTGCAGATTACCTAAAAGTAATCACGTTAAACTTAAGAAATATGAACTTCATGGAATATGACTTCAGAAGTTCGTGACATCTGTGACAAACGCATCTATAATTAATGAATTTTTGATTGATTTGTAGGTAATATAACGTGTAACAGATGGACGTATTTTTCTTGGATGCAATTATATGAAATATAACGCCCCTTAACGTCATAAATACCGGCTTGATTTAATCTATACAGCTAAACTTTTCAAAAATTTCTCATCTCATTCTTTTATATAGAAATATCCTAAATCGAAAACTACTCGCGCCACATCATAATTACCGCAGCATAGAATATATTAGAAAGTCAATCAACTCATACGATCGTACGGACGGAGCTGGTTTTCTTCAATATTCTAGATAATTCGGTGTCTTCGTAACATTGGGTGAACCGTGTGTGAAGTCGATAGACGCTCCAACGGCACCTTTTTCCAAGATACGCCTCGACAAGAGATAAAGGCAGATGTCTCTCAGCTGCGCCAAGAGAAATTTTTTTCTCTCTCTCTCTCTCTCGCACACGGCTGCGTTTTTTCTCGCTCTTAACGCTCTCTAATCAGCGCACACGTGAGACTAAACCGACTGCATAATATTTTGAACGCGTGTTAAATAAGTCAAGCATGTAAACGAGAACAAATAAAAAATAAAAAAAGAAGCGACATGAGTTTGAAAAAAAATGGGACCGCATACTATATACCGTGGCGTTACGTTAATGAACTTTGAACTCGCGCGAGAGCTGCGAGCGATCGTTACACGCTGGTATACGCGGCATGTATATAACATGTTACATTACATTACGTGTTGTGTGATGTATGTATATAACACACGTAACGCTTGGCTCGCAGAGCTCGGCGCGAAGCATTTTTTTTTTTATCTTTCGCCAAGAGATGCCGCGTATAAACTACGTGTATACATGCGATGCCTTTTGCGACGAGTCGCGTGCAGTTGCAACATCCTGTCGATATTTATACAAAATACATAATAGAACTCCAATCGCGGTAGTAAATGTGGGCCAACACCGACAATTAAAAAATTGAGAAAAACAAATGATCGAATAAAAATACACAACAGCTCGCAACACACCACTTTGACCTTGAAATGGTGTTTTTTTCACATCAGAGTGCGATCTCTCTCGTCTATCCTACCACTGCTATATACGAGCGGCATTACGAAGATAAGTCAGTTCGGCGTCATCGTACACGGCTCATTTTCTTAGATATATAACATGGAATTATTGTCTCTCTCTATGCTCGTTACAACTATCGTATCGTAGTACGTACGCGCACTTACATTACGAGAGCCGCATAATTGCGGTGATATACCTGTACGTACTAGGCCTGCGGCACGTAGTAATTATTTCGTATGTGCAAGGCTCGATCGAAAAGTTAACACTGTACTCTGCATCTACGAATGCATTCTTATCACGCTGTATGAAGAACCAAGTAAATTTCAAAAACACGAAGTAATGACAAATGAGGGAGTCGAACGAAATAATAATAATAAAATGTTCATTCAAACGAGCCTTACCCCGATTTGCTGGCCTGCGTGGCCTCGAGCGAGTGAATTCTCAACAAATTCGCTAAATCGGACAATTTGGCGATGGTCTTGGCCTCTGGCTTGTGGTAATTGGTCATCTTTGCAGTTATAGTTCTGGCAAAATTAATAATAATATCAAAAAACTATCACACTAGTCAGTAATCGGGTCGGGAATTGAAATATTTGCAACGGCGATGGTGAGTCGAAAACTACTGGTTGCTTTGCCCCTGTAGTCTGTACCCGGTACTTCTCGAACGTCGCTCCTTCTCTCGGTGGAACTAACACTGCCACTGCGCAGGCGCTCGAACGTGTTATCTGTGCGAATTCTGGTCGTATTTCCATTTGTGCGAACGCGATAAACAAGGACGGGGATACGTGCCGGCGTTTGAATTGCGGATGGCGGCGAGCGCGCGAATAAACGAATGAGACGTTACACAGACACGAGGTGAGTTCGAAGAGAACAGAACCGTCATGAAACCGTACGTTTTTCATGACAACGTAATTCAGAATGTACTTTTATTTTTGCCTTCAAGTTTTTGAGTATTTCTCATTAACTCGATTATTAGGGATTTTTAGTGCAACACAACATAACTTGCTCGTACACTCGGTAACTGTACCTTGCTCCAACACTCGATAATTGAATGTGTAAAACCTTTGAGCTAAATTTACGTGGTCATAGGACAGGAACACTTCCATCGGTACAAGAATTGATTTCGAACCGTCACACTGACCAATAAAATTGTAATTTTTTAAAGACATATTGATAATAGAACCTTTTTTACAAGATTCGTTTTTCAATTATGTCTAGTGAATCTGAAGAAGCATTGCCTTATACGCGTTTCTATTCCTGTTTCGGTGTATAAAATTAAAGTAGGGGGGGGGGGGGCAAAAAGCTGGAAGGTGGTTTGTTAAAAAATTGAGAGCTGCATTTTACAATCTCAACTAATTATATAACAATTATCGAGGAAAACATTAGTTTAATCCTTCAAATGTACGTACTTCCAATTGAATTCGAATATATAGTGTTTCCGACTACATATTTATACTTGCGGGTAGTTATTCTTTTGATTGATGTGCCAGCTACTGGTTACAAGGTACAACTATATTTTTGACGGATATATCATGACTAAATTAAAAAAGTTCGTAATATTCGGGTGGGAATTACCAATTTCACATAGGTTTTAGGGATCAGTTTCATTTTGACTTGTCAAAATTCGCAGAGCAGAGGTTTTTCTAAAACTTGGTGAGAAATTTTTCTTTAGGCGACAAAGATTTTTTTGGAATTTTTCCAAACTCCATGTTCATAAAAAAGTATAATAGAACAGCTATTAAAGTTGAATTAAACCAATGTGAAATTGACAGTTTGGCCACACCAATTTCATGAAATGTTATAATTCAGTATCTGCGAAAAATATTCGTGAGTTTCAAGTACTCTCAAAGTTCAATTGAACACCAACTAACTTGTAGATGACGCATCTAGTACCCGCAAGTATATAAATCTGTAGGCGGTAGGGCTGTGCGCGTACTCGAAAAAACTCTACTCGTCGAGTTCTAGTTTTTTCCTCGAGTTCGAGTCGAGTACTCGATTTTTTGAGTACTCGAGTTTTTTCGAGTAATCGAGTTTTTTTCGATTTGACCATATACACACAAAGAGAGGGGTCTGGAGACTGTTTATTCACCATTTATTTACTTAAAATTTAAATACATTGCGAGTACTTGAAAAAAACCGATTACTCGAGAAAATTCGAGTACCCGAAAAAACTCGAGTACTCGAAAAAAATCGAGTATTCGAAAAAACTCGCATTTAACCGACTCGACTCGAAAAATCGGATACTCGCACAGCCCCAGTAGGCGGAGACTATGTGTATGTCGAAGCTATAAGCCCCTCCCCATATCACAGGGCTTTTCTGAATTTCAAAAATGATATTATCGACGACCAACTAAAACTTTATGCGATCAAAGTGACGCCACAGCCTCGTTTTTTTATATCGATCGAGATCAGAAATTATACATTTGTTTCTTGACCGACTTTCAACTCTAAGGAGTTTGATATATTTTTTAAATTAATTTGATTCGTTGATTGTTGTTATAAACTTGTTCATTGCGATAGTTTAAACATAATGAGTTTACATACTAAGTCTCAGAGCACATGTAATTTATCATCCGAGGCGAAGCCGAGAGAGACAGGCTCGAAATTTTTGACTACTGTTTGCAGGATAAAAAATTTTTATCCTGTTTTCCGGGAAAACTACCCGATGAAATTGGCTGAAATTTGGTGCAGTTGTTCACAGCATCAATACGGAGGGCTCCACAGAGCCGTTTTTCGAAAATCAGCTTGGAAAAAAAGTTACGAAAATATACATTTTCTGTGCTCGGTCGGTAAAAACTGTGGCCAAGGCATCACCTTAACCAATTAACGACCAAACTGCTTGATTTTTTTGTTGGTTTTCGCAGCGATTTTTTTTGTAGTTTGAGGCCTCCAAAAAGTTTCGTATGGACCGATTTCGATGTAAAATTTAATGTCCTTTCAGAAACTGAGCTCAAAATGTCAACTCCTTGCGCAATAAAAAAGTTATGGCTACTTATACGAAAAAAAACGTAACTTATATTCATATAAAACATAACTCATTTTTACTCGAAAACTACTGAATTTAGAGAAAAAGTGCAAAAAACCAAAGTTTGAAAAGGAGTTAAAAAATTCCATAAAAATTCTCTGAGATACCTTGATAGTCGTGATCACCCCTGATCATATTTATATCGTGATTCTCTAACGGTAAAATAGTGAAAAAAAATCAAAAACTTGATTTTTTGCAAAAAATTTTACGTTTTTTTTCGTATAAGTAGCCATAACTTTTTTATTGCGCAAGGAATCGACATTTTGAGCTCAGTTTCTGAAAGGACATTAAATTTTACATCGAAATCGGTCCATACGAAACTTTTTGGAGGCCTCAAACTACAAAAAAAATCGCTGTGAAAACCAACAAAAAAATCAAGCAATTTGGTCGTTATAATGGGTTAAATAGTGAAACATTCACACACAGTCACGCACACCTACGTGGTTTATTTATGTAAAAAAGGCTATAAAACTTGGATAAAAAAGAATGAAATTTCAATTGCCCAAAAAGTTGTTGACATTAAATATCAATGTTCCATATAAAGGTATTCTTTATTTCATCGACTGATACACTGATTGGAAAACTGCTATAAATGATACTGATCGTTTGAATATCTTTAAAATAAAATGATTATATATTTTTCAGCCATGCTATTTTAAAAATTCTATAAATCAGTTTACCATGCTGCAGCTCTCAACATTCAAAGTTATTATTGACCCCATCGCTGTATTGAAGTTTTTCATTGATCTTGTCATTATAAATAACAATAAGAGCCTAGCTTTCGGTGGATAAGTGTACCATTTAAGGAAATAACTAGATCAAATTTCAAATAATTTAAAAAAATTATTTTAGATAATATAGCAACCAAAAATTATATGACTCAGTTACCATTCAAAAAACAAATCGTTCGTAGCGTTGATCAATAATTGACTTGGAATACAGATGCAAATAATCACGGTTGAGAAAACAAGCATTGTATAAAAAACTTGTAGAGCTTCTGTTTTATCTTTGTCCCATAAAATTACGAACTAGATCATTTAGATATTTGTTAATCGATTATCAACTTTATACATTATCTATAATAATGATGTAATATTTACCCAGGTACCAGTTAAAACGATGGTAAAAAATATACTACCAATTGCAATGAAATTTAAGATATTTGTCATGTAACGATAATGTTCAAAAAGTCTATAATCAATGGTATTAAAGAGGTTAAAAAAATAAATTATTAAAAATACAGCTTTTTTAAAATAAATTCTGCTTTAAAAATTAACTAGCCTTATACAGTTTTGATGTTGACGAGCTATTTCTCTGACTTTTCTATTAAAGAATTTGCTTATACTAAAGTTACGTACGAATTTTTTATGCTCATATTCGATATCCATTTCTTTCAAGTTGTGTCTTGCGTAGTAATATTTATAAATTTCGAAAATAAACGTAAGTAGTTGTATATTTTTCTCATTTAATAATAAAACTTCACGTACCGCAAACATTGAATGTCTCCAATAATGAATCCTACTACTGTACTTTGAAGGTAACTCAAAAGTGAAAATATTACGAATGTAATAAATACAATTAATATCTGAAATCCAAAAATATAAAAAAAATATTCATCTTCATCGAAAAAGTATGACAATTTCCCAGGTAAACTCTTAGAAAATCGTTTATCTTCTGGTGATATCCAAAACATGAAAATTTGGGTAGCTGCTGGAAGTAAAAAGAAACTGGCGAAAAATGGACTGACGCTCACTGAAAAAAGAATTTACTTGAGTTATCTTTATCTCTTTTAGAAAAATTATTATTACTCATTTGAAAATAGTGTATAGTTGCTCCTTTTTTAAGTACTTTCATTAACTTTTTTTTGCCTATAGTATCATAGCTTTGAAAAATTTTTGTAATTATTATCATACACCTAAGAATCTAAAAATTGGTCAAATATTATTGTTTTGTATGAAATAGTTTACTTTATTTAACCATATTACTTCTTATCAATCAAAATTTTCACGTACCATATCATCGTTGAAAATTAAAATAATATATAAACCCAATACCGCTATCAAACCAATGCATTGATACACATTATGAAACACAATAAGATTAATTAAGTCGGTCCCTTTGAGTGCCATGCGTAATTTTATGCCCTTCGAGTATATATTTTTATAAAAAAATCAGTCTATAATAATTAAATATTACTTACTGATGAAACACTTGAAATGAATAGGCACAGAATTATGACTGATCTTCCTATTAATTGTACGTATTTTTTTTGTAGTGGCCAGAGGAAAACGATCTTGAACGTTTTTATCAACAGGGGAAGTTGGGACACAGGAGTATTCTTTATGAATTTTAACATAGCTTCATTTTTCGTCAACATAGCGTCACTTTTTTTATAAAACTCTGGAGTTGTTTTTGTAATAAATTAAGAACTAATTTTTGAAATAAGTTTATTAAACACGTTACTCTACTATTCTAGTAAAATTTTTATATTTTGAACAGACAAAAGAATATGGTATTGTATTGAAAGTACAGAGCTTCCGTAAAAGTTTAATTTACGAAGCAATGCAAAGGTTTACGTAGAAGTTTTGCAATGATTAAAAATAAGAAGTTTAAATTTGGTTTAATTAGATGTTTTTATTGTTTTTTTCGTCGTTTTAATTTTATTTATAACTACAAAAATATAACAATTCCTACGATTGAGCGCGATGAGCACTTTCTGGCTGTAGTCAATTGATAAAACATTATTTTCCTACGAACTAAACGTATATTTTACAAGAATATCTGCGTTATTGAATTATTTATTTCCTTATTAAATTGTAATGTACATTCATTGTGCGCAAAGGAAAAAACACTCAGGTGCACGCTCGCAAACACACACCCTTGCACAAGGTCAATTTCTATTTATATACAAAATTAATTTAAATTAAAAAAAAATTCGTTTAACTAAACACATTCATTATTATAGATATAAGCTTCGTACTTGTTAGATGCACTCGTTGAAAATTTACAATTAATGAAATGCAAAGGATCGTTCGCATTGTAAGTATACAATATTGAGTTAATATAATTAATTATGCAAGTATAATAGTATATAGTAATCTTTTAACAATCAATAAAAGTTAAGGCTTAATCCTCTAGTTATTAAAAACAATCTGAGTTCTGAACTTCCGTCACTATATTCTCGAGTGGAAGTTACAGCAATTGAAACGTTGCGTTTGATTGAAGTCTTTGGTAAATACAATAAGTAATTTCTTTCCGAGCAACATGTATTATATAATCTTGATAAAGTTTTTTGTAAATATTATATTAAACATAAATATATTTCTCTTACTCGATGCACATGGCACAATTGCACTTGAAATGCCTAACATGTATTATTATTCGTCCTAAATTCGCTATCGTAAAAGAATTTCGAATTTTTTTCGTTTGCTTCGTCGATGGATCAATGTCTGTTGAGCGGCTGGCTCTCGGGCGATCCCGAGGACGGCCTGTGCCTGTTGAAGAATCCGCACTTGTACAGCAGCAGTATGAGCAGGAACAGGAGCAGCACGCCAATGCACACGGCCAGAATGATGATCCAGAGGGAGACGGGCTGGGCGGGCTGGGCGGGCCTCGTCGGCACGATGACGGTCGAGACCTCGTAGCTGCGCATTATGCGCTCCTGGGGCTTGCCGATGAAGGGCTGCGCGGTCACGATGGACAGCATCTTGGTGGAGACGCGGATGCGCTCCGTCTCGTTGGCCTTCTTCATGGCGGGCACGTTGGCGCGATACTTGGCCGCGATGGACACCTCCTCGTCCTTCCTCAGCGGGCCGATCTGACACTGGAGGGTGACGCACTGGGCCATCTCGCACAGGTGCTCGCCCTTGAATATGGCCGCCTCGTCCTCCTTCTCGAGGATCTTCGCAAGGGGCAGACGATCGACGATGTCGCGCGTGTACCTGGTCCTCTGCATCTCCGCCGCCGCCGTCCTGTTGCTCCTGCCGATGCTGGTCTTGACGCTGAGATAGTCGGCGTTGGCCGACTCGCACCTGACCAGCGCCTCGTTCGACACCTCGGGCTGCTCGATCAGATACATGAGCACCTCGCCGGAGAACTTCTCGGCCTGCCAGATGAGCGAGGTGACGAGCTCCAGCACCTCGGCCGGCCCGTTGTTGCGTATCGTGTAGTTGTGCACGATCAGCGGGCTGTACTCGAGATTGGTCACGGCCGAGGTCACCTCGTTGTTGGCGCCGCTGGCTGGGACATTGTTGAGATTGTAGTCGACCTCGTAGGGTTTGCTCGCGCCCTCCACGATGATGTCCGTCTCCACGTAGACCGGCAAGGCCACCTTGTAGGCGTTGTTGCGCCTACTCTCCGGACTCTCGGGATTCGTCGAGTTGACCGACATGGCGATCTCGTACACGGGGCTCATGCCCGCGTACGTTCTCGGCTGCAGATACAGCTTGAAGGCGATCTTGCTGCGCTGGGGGAACGGATTGCCGATGTCGCACTTGAGGGTATTGTTGTTGGCGGGCTTGGGCGCGCTGCACTGCACGATGATGTCCGCGTACTTGAACTCGCCCCTGTCGGCGTACTGGGGCTTCTTGTCCTTGGGCCGATTCTCGATGTTGATGTAGTCCATGCCGGGTGGCAGCTGCATCTTGAAGGTGGACTCGAAGGCGTCCTCGCCTCTGTTCGCGATGCCGACCTCCAGCTCGATGATCTTGTCCGAGCCGAGCAGATAGCGATCGAAGTTCTTCTGGACCTTGAGATCGAGCTCGGGCACGCAGACGTTGTCGCTGCCGCAGTCCTTCTTGATGGAGAGCGAGACGCGTCTCTTGGTGTTCTTGGGTCCCAGCACGGCCGTCAGTTGCTTCTTGGGGTCGCGCGAGCCCCTCGTGCGATACTGATTCGTCGTCGGCTCGGCCAGCTCGACCTCCATCGAGGCGTCCAGAGGCGTCAGCTTGTCGCGCAGATGCTGCGACACGTAGACCTTGAACTGTCGGCAGGACTGCTTCATCTCGGCCGTGACCACGAGCCAGTCGATGACGTTGCTGTTCTCCCGGTCCATGAAGTACAGGCGGGGATTGTTCTTTTTCTCGGCGTCGAGCGTCAGGTGCACCCTGAACTCGTGCACCTGGCCGGACCTGGTGCCCTGGGCCGAGTACAGCAGGCAGACCCTCAGCTCGGCGCAGGTGACCGATGTGCCGTCGGCGAGGGGGCACTCCTTGCTCGTCAGATCGAGTTCCTTCTGCGGATTGCTCACAAAGTCCATGGTGGTGGTGAGGTCGATGACGGGCCTGGCGCGGAAGTAGGCCGCGGCGTTGGACTCGTAAGCGCCCACCACGAGGTCCGGATACTTGTTCTGGTCGAGATCGAGGCCGCCGGCCACCGACCAGCCGAACGTCTGCAGCGGCTGCACGAGCTGCTCCGAGTGTATGACCTGCGAGGCCTTCTCCTCGACGCCGTCCTTGGTGCCGCGATAGATGTGGACAGCGCCGCGATTCTCGGGTCCGCCGTAGGGCTCGCCCACGACGAAGTCGCCGTAGCCGTCGAGGTCGATGTCGCCCAGCGAGGCCACGGACAGGCCGAATTGGCCGCGATTGCTGTCGCCGTCGCGAGTGTGGAACTTGCGGAATCTGTCCGGGCCCGAGCCCTGATAGAAGACGTAGACGCGGCCGGTCTCGATCTTGTCGCTGGCCAGCTCGTCGTTCAGATGACTGTAGAAGGGCGCGGTGACTATGAGATCGTCCCTGTCGTCGCCGTCGATGTCGCCCACCGCCAGAGCGTAGCCGAAGTAGGCGCCCATCTGCTCGCCGGTGACCTTTTGATGGTAGCGCAGCGTCGAGTCGTAGAGCATGACCTCGCCGCGAAGATTGGCCCCGCGGGGCATGCCCACGGCGACCCCGCTCTCGCCCAGAACACCCGTGAAGTCGCCCACCGCCACGGAGTAGCCGAGATAGCTGTTGTCCTCCTCGGCGGGCCGCTCACCGGTCGACAGCATCGACGGGGCCAGCTTGTCGGCCTGGTTCCTGTCCTTGCTGCGTATCATCTGGGGCACGAAGAGCATCCTGAGCCGAGACTCGCCGGTGAACAGCTGACCCTGCCAGTAGTAGCTGCCCGGGGCACCGATGAACAGCCGTTTGCCGTCCTTGGTGAGGGCTGCGCTCATTCCAGCCTGACACATGCCCTGTCGATGGTGGCCCGAGGTGTCGTTGTTGCGACAGGGCGAAAACTCGACGCTGCTCGTGGAGCCGTTGTCGTTCGAGCTCAACAGCCGACAGCTACCGATGGCGTCGCGCAGATTCGCCACCGTGTTCTGCCGGCTGATGCCGAACCAGTGGTACTTGGGGGCGCAGGCGAGGATCGGGCCGCCGTCCACGGTGCTCGCCGCGACCGTAGCTCCGAACAGTTGATCGGATTTCTGATCGATCACCTGGGAGGGCTCGGTGCCGTTGGGCGACTTGATGCGATTGTTGGACTCGTGATCGAAGCCCAGCGGCTGGCAAGCGTTGTCCTGGTAGATGTCGCACTTGTAGACGGCGCCGCCGCGCGACACGTTGAACTGATCGGTGCGGTCCTTGGGGGCGCCGACCACCAGCCAGCCTTGGGCCCGCTTGTCGCGGTACTCGGCCACCGAGTAGCCGAACATGGACTTGGCCGGGCCACGGTGCACGGAGTAGTGGCTCGTTTCGAGATTGAAGCCCTGGCTCCAACCGATCGTGGTGGCCACCAGTACGGACAACAACAGCAGCAACGAGGAGGATGCCATGTCGCTGCTCCGGCTAACGTTGTTTGTATACGGTATTTATTTCAAACGAAGCGCGCGCGTGCTTTTTGTCCCTCTCTCTCTAGCTCGTTCGCGACTCCGTAATACGTTTGCTCTTTCCAGCAGGCAGTCGAGAGAGAGAGAGAGAGAGAGAGAGCGAGTCGCCGAGCGCACCAAAATTGGTAATGTATCTCTCTCTCTGCGGCTGTATTATGCTATATGTGCCGATTCCAGCCTCTGGTTTCTGTCTCTCGCTCGCTCGGCTCCGTGTATGGCTCGGCTCTTTCTCTCGCTCGTTGCGCACTCGCGGGGAGGGCTGCACTTTTGTGTATATAACGCTGCACATGCACTCACGGATACACGCGCATCAATGCGTCTCGATACACTACACACGGAAAGAAGATGCGCGCTTTGCCGCGTGCACTACATGTCATTCACCTGCGCGACTGGTTTTTTTTTTTTTTTATTGCATTCGCATTCGCGCATCAGCAGCACTCGACGCGAGTCGTAGTATCGCGATACGGTAGTGTCGCATCGTCGCACATGAAATTCAGAAGAAAATAAAAACTGCACCGCACGCACGTATCAACACTTGACTCCTTTCTTTCAATTATATTCCGCACTACAACTGTTGCTGCTGCTGCTAAGAGCGCGAAAGCTTCTTCTCTCTGCTTCCTGTTGTAATATGTACGATATACACACTGCACTGTACGATGCACTGTACAAAACAAACGGCAGAAAACAAAAGGCAGCACAACGCGCAAACAAGAAGAAGAATAAGTTGTGTGCACTCTGCCGCCGCTTTTACTTCCTTTTAGTCTCTCTCACTCTCCCTATCTCGTTCACTTTATACGCGAAAGAGAAGAAGAAAAAGTGTCGCTCTGTCTCGGCTACTGCTGCTCGTGGGGCGGGCGCGTGTTTATTTTCGTCCGGGTAAATAGCGCGCAAGTCGCCAGCAGTCTTCTCTTGCCACGGTCTCGTCGCAGGGCAAAAAGCTCATATTGCCGCTGCTGCGCTCCCGTGAAATGTAGCGAGCGGGGAGCTAGCTCCGTGCGTGTGTTTATTAAAATGCGCTTGTACGACGCGCTTGTACGACGGACGACTCTCGACTGAGCGCGAAACGCGCGAGGATCGCGCGAATATAGCCAGAGAGAGAGAGAGAGAGAGGCGGCCGCCTTGGCCGCTCGCAGTTGCCTGCTTTAATGCCTCTCTCGGTGCGTGCGTGGGTGCTGCACCGAGCCAAAGAGACACACGAACTACCGACTCGTTGCTGTGGCCGCCGCCGCCGCCGCAAAACTATATGGGGAAAAGACAGAGAGAGAGAGAAGAGATTCGCTCGCGAGAGCGGCCCCGGTCGGACTGTGTATAAGCGATTCACTGCTCTGCGAGCGAGCGAGCGAAGGCCTATATATAAAAAGCAGACCTACATGCCTATAATGTACTCTATATCTATAGATAGATAATGTAGCGTGGTAGAAGCAAGCTCCAACAGTCGTCGGCGGGGCACACACACACACACACAGATACAGAAAAGCCATGCACACAATTAAAGCGTATAAGTACGTGATACAACTGCGACTTTTGCGGCCTGTTGTCTCTCTACTTTGCTGCACTGTACGCGCTCTGTACTCGGCTCACGCTTATTAAACATGTAGTACAAAGTCTCTTGTCTCTCTCTGCCCATCGTGCACAAAGCACGAGATACACACACACACACACATGCATCTGTAAAGCTCGAATATGTGTATTCGTGCCTTATAGCGCATAGACAAAGTCACGAGTACTATATAGGAGAACGTGTATCTGTGTTATACATCGTATCGGACGTATGTAGGCTGCAGCCGTCTGCCTGACTTTTTTTTTCTCTCTCTATATACCTAGTCTCTTCCTACACACATAATGTAGGTACGTACACATAACGTGAGACATGTGTGTTTATGTTTGTGCGCGTAAAGTATATATATAGGAACTGCGCGCCCTGCATATTATTTTGGGTGCAGCCCCACATCGGTTACGGCGGCGGCACACGTGTGCCCGGATGCGTATCTCGACTCGCTATATAATACGCCTCGTATCGCCTAGCATGATATTAAGCTCCACAGTGGCACTGATGTATGCCTCGAATACACATAAGCCCGCTCCTTTTTCTAACTTTATTTTTATTTTTTTATTATTCCACGCAATGCCCAAGAGTCACGAGCGCGTCCGAAGTTATATAGTCTAAACACAGGACTAGCTGTGCGATCGACGACGCGTATCCGCGTGCGCGATTCGTTGCAGCAGATGCGCGCAGCCAATACATTACGATCGTCGATCGGTCCACAAAGCCATCGTTTCAACGGATTCTTCCTTCGTTTCGTCGCGCTTTCAAATAACAGAGCTCTGTAATGGAAGAGCAGCAAGAGTCATATTTACGTGAAATTTATCGGACTCTCGGAGCGCGCGCGGAGGTGAATCAGCGGTATAAATTAGGATATTAGTTTACCCGGACTCGTAGCCCCGCCAGCCAACAGGCGGCACAAGCTTTGCTTTGCACTTTGAGCGCTCGTCTTTATATATACGATGCGCGATTCTCGCTCGTTCTTCGAAATAAACCATCTCGATCCGAGTATTTTTCCGTTTTTTTTTTGGTTCGTCGCCGATTTTTCAGCGCGATCTCGCGAGATCGCGATGCGTGGGCCCTCAAGCCAACCTACCTACCTACCTACGATGTAACAAAAAACTGATCCAACTCGCGCCTCGATCGAAAGTCGTCTTTACCGTATTTATGAGGCACGACGATCGTTTATCCCACAAGATCGGAGCTGTCCCCGAAAATTCTCGAGCTGCTTGACCGCGCGTACCGTAACGAGAGAACGCAAAAAACAACAACGTATATTACGCTGCCGCTACGTAAGATCGGAAATAGCAGGAAATTCGATAGCCATCGAAAAATACCGTCGATATATTACGGCCTCGCGCGCGTTCGTTATTATACGGCTGCTACTGCTTGGGTGCATTAAAATGCGCGCGAGCCCATACCAACTACGCATACATACACAATTGCTCAAAACGATATATTTAAATGAATTCCGTCACCTTCGGCTGTGCGCGCACTCGTATACATAACATAATCCTGTAGTTGTAGCTATATAGGCGCGTGGCCCCTAGCGCCCGCGCTCTCCTATATTATACGAATGCGCATGAAAAAGTCATCGTGTGCAGCTTGGCGATTCCTGTACGCCGCATACCTATTGGATTTGTCTATATAATACACCCACCCATTATGTTATTGTGCATTTCGCAGCAGCAGCAGCAGACGCGCATTATAATAAGGAAAATTATACTGCTGAATAACAACGCGGAGCTGGGAGCTAGTCAGTGGCCGGAGACTGCGAATATAACGTGACAAACGATTTGCGTATACGCGCATAACTAAGTAAACGGCCTGCGTATGTGTATATTATAAATATATATATATGTGTTGTATTGCCAATGTTATGCTGTCTTTCAATGCCTACACACTGTGTGCGCCGAGACTCGAGGCGGATATTGCTTCATTCATCTCGAATTATACATGTATACACGCGTGTGTTGTGTATATCCGAAAGTCGCAAAAGCTCCTACACTCGACTCGGCGGGGCTATAAATATATATCTCATATATGCGCGCACGCCGTAAACGTTTGCGAATTCGTATATACGTCGTCTCTCTCTCTCTCTCGCTTTTAACTCGAGAGACTGTAGCTGGTTTACTTATAGGATACGATTTGTCGCTCGTTTGTTACCATTTTTTTCGCGCTATACTTTATACTCACGAGAAACTGGGACGAATTTCGACGATGTCTCTGCGTTTTCAAGTGCACAGACGCGCGATCGTCATCCTCGAACGAGGTAAAGATCGTTTCGAGCAGTTGCGAGTTACGCAATTTTTATCGGCCTAGTGCGTAAGTAAGGAGCAAAAACGGCCAAGATAGAAGCTCCTTCTTTTACGCTCTCGGCGTCGGCTCTCGTCAATAATTAATACATCCATGTTATTCAGTCGCCGTCTTCGTCTGTGTCTATATATTTTATGTGCGCCTCTCTGTGTTTTAGCCGCTGCTGCTTATGCTTTGCTGCTCGGCTCGGCGCTGGAAAATCCGCAGCAGCACAAACGTTACAGGTTTATTTTCAGCGTTGACCGCAGCAGCAACAGCGGCAGAGAAGAGCGAGGAAAAATATAAATTATTTTTCCCCGACTGTGGGCTGGCTGGCTGCAACGCGCACACACAGCTGCTCTCTCGCATTATTATCGTTGGTATTATTATTGCGAACTCGAAAATTCGTCATCGAATTTCGGGCGCGCGAGCGCAAGAAGCGAAAATTGATCACCTTGAAACGCGCGAATTTTTTTTATTTTAACGAGCTTCCGGACTAGCTGCGGGCTTGTCTCTCTCTCTCTCTCTCTCTTTGGTTTCGATGAGATTTAATTGTCGTCGTTTTAAAAAACGGAAGCCGAGCATTATATATCTCGTATACCGCAAATTGAACGACGAATTACATTACAGGCGGGTAAATAAATATTGAATCGCTCCCGAGTATAGCTGCGCGCAAAGTTCATCACTCTCCGAAGCGGCTACCGCCTTCGTGCGCCCTTCCCCGCTACAATAAAGCGCGCTACATGGGCAGCGATCATTAATCGACAAGTTGCACACGCGATCTATATAAAAGCGCACAGGCGGCGGCGGTGGCGTCAGCTCGGACGATGCGAATTGAAATTGATGGCGAGCGGCGGCGGTGGCAAAAAAAAAAAAAGATAAATAAGTAAGAGAGAAGGGCGCGGTTCCGACTCTCTGCTTAATGTACATTACACACGTTACGTATGTACCGTGCAGTGCGCACGCAAACTTTATCGAGTGTATTGTACACGTCCTCCGTGCAGCGTATAATAATAATGTGTATAAAAAGGTGCTCGCTCGCGCGCACGCATGGACATCGGACGAGGCCTTGATTTATTTAATGTATCCCGAGAGCGAGAGCGACGCAAGCCGTATTCGGTGCTAATGAATGTGATTTCTTTCTCCATACTCCCGCGCACAGCGAGCCGATCTCTGCGTGTGTGTGTGTGTATACACCTTTTCCCCCCCGCCGATCGCCGCGAATGTTGTATATATGGAGATTAGCCAACATTTTTTTCTTCTTCTTCTTCTGCTTATATTACTTCTCTGTTTTGTCTTTCGGAAGTAGGTCCACGCACACACCAAGTTTCGTAATATCTATTTTGAAAAATAAAAAAACGTACGTATGATCGGTACGAGCTGCCGTGGTGCGTGGGACGTGATCCTTGCAAAAACAGCAGCAGCAGCAGCAGCTTCTTTTTTTCTTCTCGAATGCAAAGAGATGCGAGATTGTGTCACGAAGAAAGAAAGAAAAGTCCTTTTTTGGTCATTTGAAAATAACTCGTTTTTTTTCTCTCTGAATCACATGAGCCAGGTTGAGCTTGAGCTTAGTCACTTTTTTGTGTCTATATGGAAGCAACTAAAAACCCATTGAATTTTCGATATAATACCGATTAGACCGCCTTGAATACTAAGCACCCTTTTCTTTTTCACCTGTCCTTTGCCGTTAAAACCTATAGAATCGCTTTTACATTAATTAAGCCAACGAGGCGGCGAGATATTCCCAACAGAGCTCGCGGCACGAGAAATTAAAATGCTATTTAAGACGTGTGTGTACCGCGCGTAATTACTCAACCGATTCATAAATGTGTGTCACGATCATTGACTTAAATAATGCCTTGGAAACTCATATTCAAGAGGAATTACCACTTCGACTTGTACATATCTTTTTTCGGTGCACGCCACGGATCGTTATTCGTTAAATCCTATAAGCGGCACGTTATCAAAAAAGAGCTGATGACATTTTTCTTATCTTCCTCCGGGTATAACGACACGAAATCGAAATCTCCAACCGAATTTCCTCATAACGTTAATCAGTGGAGGGCTTATAGATAGCGATAGTAAAGATATCACCCGATCGAAGTTGGCCTAATCGAACACGAAAAGGATTTCTAATCCTCTCGAACCCGTTCGATACTCGTTACTACTTGAGCCTCGCACATATTATATTTCACTTACGATTTTGATTGATCGAAAGCTGTAATAATCGTGATTATTCATATTTTTTTTTTTTGCCTCTCTGACTGATGAATCAAGGAATGGGAGAGAGAGAGAAAGAAATCAAAATATACGCACCAATGATAAAAGAAAAAATTTCTTTATTTCACAAGTGTTCATGTGTGTGTGTGTATGTGTGTGTGTGGTACACTTAAATTGTACGACGAAAAAAAACAGAGTAAAAACACTCTTATATATTTTTACAGTTTTGCGATAGTGTTTCTTTTTATTTCATCGGCACACACATATATGCGTTACAGTTCATATATATGTGTATTTATTTCGTATAATGATAAATTATGTACAAGACTTTTTCTCAGTGTGTCGTATTATCAGCGATATATAATATTTCATTTTTTTTGCTCCTTTCCTATAATATCATGTGTTTGTGTGGAGAGTACTTATTTAAAAATTATTATGCGATTATTTCAGGTTACCTGCCTGCGTTTAGATTTTTTTTTCATAGTTATTTTTTTTCGTCGAAATAGTATTTTACAAGATAGGAAATAATCACTTCGAGTTTGCAGTTTTTGTTTTACTCTGTACACGATCGATCGTTGTTTTGTCAACAAAAAGTCATATTGTTTCGAATTCTTAAACAGTAACAATCGCAAAAGCATTTTCGATAATTCATATAGTTGGTGTTTCGCAGCCAATAATAGGATCAGTGCAATGTGTTTTCTTTCACATGATTTATAGCGATAAATTGATTATAAGTCAGTCAATTGATTGATTCAAGTCTATTTAATCGTGAATGGGTTATATACTGACAAAAATTTGTGAGTCGTGACTTTGGGGGACGTCCCAAAATATTGTCACATATGAAATGTATTAACGAACATTCGCATAATTTTTCGAAACTCGATATAAAAAGTCGGATCGTTCGTACTAAAATCAGTAGGTGCGATAGCACCTAACCGGCATTATTCTTATAGTAGTTTGAAATTTTAGATCTATAACTATTTTAGTAATATCATTATGATTTTTAAGAATTTACACAACTTACGCAATATATAGATACAATTTACAAATTTTTTTAATCCGCACGAATTTAAATAATTCAAACAAGAAAAATTTTGAGATAATTATAAGCAAGTTGATTGATATTTGCTATTGCTTTAATTTAACTCATATCAAAATACCAGACATTAATAGCAAATTGCAAAAGTCTATATTATTAGCCGTTTACAATTCAAAATTTCACATGAGAATACATCAAGTACTTATAATCAGTCTTGGCTGTGATGTTTTTTCCATGTTAGAATTTAATAAACAAAATATAAAACAAGCAACGTAGCACAACATAAAAACATTGTAGACAAGTTAATTATTGGTACTTGACAGTTTTAATGAAAAATGTCTTTTTCATGGGCAGTTTATCTGATTTTACAAAATATTTAAGATTAAGTAAGCAAAGGAGCTTTAGATAAAATGATAAAGAGATAATTTTTTTTAGAATTTTAGTATCACAATCACACTCCTTTTCATACGTCCGTGCACATTCACTCAAAAATAAGTTTCACGATCTTTCAAAATCAATTTAGTTTCAACCATGCATTCGTTTTACAATATCTCTTTTATGACTGCTTACATTTTTGTCGAGTAAACTCTCGCCGATAAGAAATAGAGAAAATTACTTGATATTCGTTGTTTCGTTCCAGATATATTTAAAAAGATTTGAATTGTAACTTAATTGTAAAGAACAACTTTTAGTAATATATATGCATCATACAAAAATGTAAATCTATTTCTTATCGTTATTTTAATGTTTCAAAGACCCTAGCAAGATCTTTACGCTTTTGTTCTACGGCAAAGTGACCGAACAATGAAATCGTTTTTTCTACGACCTAACCGCATTTATTTGATAGTACTCTTAAAGATTAATAATAATTTCGTGACTAAAACTCATTAATAGAAAGCTTTGGCTAATTTACAGTTTCATTCTCTTACGTGCCACTTTACCACACTATAACCAAACGAGTAAAGACATTTGTCATACTTTACATTTAACACCTTATCAATTTATCATAGAACTGGTCTCATTGCATTACATTTGCACTATTCTCGTTAATTAAAACAGTTATATATATAACTATGTACAGACTTATTGATGTATGTATGTGTATACTTTGTTTTGTATACACGCACAGTGTATTTCATGGATGTTTCTTACTAACGTACGCTAGCAATTATGTATATTTATATACATATAAATAATATTTACAGCGAGTGTCGTTTATTGGCATTGTCGGCGATGTCGTTTCACAAGCCAGCAGACGAAGCAGCTTTACCTCATGCCATCGAAATTGTCACGTTGATGCCGAGATTGCCGTTGTCAGCGAATAATTGCGCGATCGATGTGTCAAAAACGAGACAATCGGAGTTTTGAATCGCAGACGATACACCTTCGTGAATTGATCGTGGCATCGCCTCCCACGTAAGTCGTCGACGATGGCCGTTTAACTCTAACCTGAAGTAGGAAATGAAAATAATCAGAATTGCTGCCTTTCATAGTTTTAAACTTAGGTTTGGCCTTAATTTATGGCTACTTTTAGAATTAACTGCCCATTTGAATATCATTATGTAATAGATACCTATAGGCAAAACTCTCCGCTTGTTTACGAGATCCAATGAGCTGAACAATTGCAAAAAATTGTTGATGTCCATCATACTTTTCTTGTTTTTCAAGAACAAGCATAAAATGATGTCCAAAACAAGATTGCATCATGACCCAGTCGACTGCTCCAGGCAAGTTTATATCGGTGGCTAAAAAGACTATGTCTTCGCCTGGAAACAATTGAGATGCTTAGTTTTTGTTATTGTTATAAAAAAGTAATACTAATATGAGTAAGAAATTTTACCTTGTAGGGTTGTAATGCTTTTGTGGCTCATGACTAAATGATTCATGACTAACTCCAATGATCCTTGCCATTTGCAAGAGGCACCAGGGCAGGGACAGCTGTATGGACGGAATTCACATGTATCCTCGTGGTCAGGTTTTTCTGTATGTACTAGAGTTATCATACAGCCACTCGTTGAATACTTGCAGGGAAACATAACGTTGCTTGCTACTTTCTCCATAGCCAGATTTCGAATGTTTCCTAAAAAATTAGAATGAATTTTAAAATTATATTGGTATAGTCATATTTATTCGGTTTTATATTCTACACGACATTCGCGATCTCCGCTACCTGCACCGTATTCATGGTTCTGAAGGCGATCACGATCTCCGCTATTTGCACCGTTTTCATGGTTTTGATGGCCATCGCGATTTCGGCTACTACCTGCACCGTTTTCATGGTTTTGATGTCGATCACGACTTTGGCTACTACCTGCACCGTTTTCATGGTTTTCATGTCGATCACGACTTTGGCTTCTACCTGCACCGCTTTCATGGTTTTCATGTCGATCACGAATTTCGCGTCCACGGTCTGCGCGTTCTTCGCGTCTTTCGTGACGTTCACGATGACGATCTTTTTTTTTTTTATGATGGCTTTTATGTCGAGACATGGTAAAGTGTTCTATTTCAGTTGTTCGCAGCTTTCAAAGTGTTAATATTGATTGCTCTGATGTGTATGTGATGTTTACGTTAGGTGTATCATGTTTATAAGTCAAATTTCAATACTAACCGAGAGGCCCTCTGCAGGTCGGGCAGCAAGAGAGTTTGGGTCGACAGTTACTACAAGTTAAGTGACCGCTTGGGCATTGTAGAATTGGTGGTAGAACATAATCGAAGCACACTGGACATTCGAACAGACTGGCAAGGTCTGCAGTATTTGACAAGGATGCTACAGATGAAGCCGAAGAATTTACCATATTACGACCTCGTTTGCCAGTACTTATATTCAGCTGGGACATTTTACTTTCATGAAATGCTTGGCTGTAATGATACTCAAAGTCATCAAAGGCAACTGCGGCTAACAAAAGTAGTGTGCAGGTTGTTTTGAATAAAAATCAAAGATTTGAGATCCGAGATTAGCTGATTCCTTGGAGTTTGAATGGGTTGACATCTGTAACAACAAAACAATATGAAATTAAAATTATGACCCTTTAGTTTACAGACCAATAAAGTTTGATGACTTTCACTCCATTTATCAATTCATTCATAGCATATGACATTCTACAAATTGTAAACAAAACCACTATTTCTCTAGGACATACTATCAACATTCATCAAAATTTCATCATACACTCTCTCACTAGCTGTAGAATTGCCCAAAAAAACCTTCATTTCAATTCTACAACCACGAGAAACATTGTTTAAACTTAGACAGATACTAGCACAAGAGAGCTCGTAGGCGTGTGCTGCACGAAATCCATAACAAGCGTTCAATCACCGACAATTGCGTGTATTTTCATAACATTACATTCACCGCAGCAGTGTGCTTCTCGTCGGGCTCGGGCTCAAGAGAAAAAAACTTCACTGTTGTCATAGTGGTCAGAGGCAGCGCGATTGATGCACCTTATACACGAAAGTTTGCACACACAGAAAAGGCAAACAGACACGCACACGAACGCACGAATGAGCACGAAAGTTGATGCTGCTGCTGCCTGTCTCGAGTTGGTTGTCACGAAAGTTTGAATGTCACGTTGAAAAATGCACGCTCCACTGGCGATTATAATGCACAGAGCAAAAGAATTGTATACATCGACCATTCGAGAATGATATTACAGTACACCTCCAGCAGTAGCACCACAGTCCGAGAAGTCGTTGTTGCGCATAGAGCACTCCTCCTCCTCACTTACTCTCTGATCGAGAGAGACATTTACCTTACATCGCCCCTTCAACTCTGAAGCCTCTGTATTTTCGTGCCGGACGAACAAGAAGATATCCTCCTCCTCTCTGAATAGAAAAACTCGTGTGTTGTGCTGCTGCAGCTAGAGTAGCGTGCGAAAAACTACGACGATGAGAATGACGACGACGACGACGGGACTGCTGCCATGTATACAATGGGACAATGCACATTCATATACCACCCTGTGCACGTACAGTGAGTCTCGCAGCTACTACACTACATAAATAGGCGCCGCCATTTCGATGTGTGTATCGCCCCACCACACCACCACCACCGCGAGACGAGAGACGGCCTGCGAGCAGAGATAGTGGCCCCGAGGTAGACACTACGATAAAACGGAGCGATTTGTGCGAAGCGCACACGGCGTGCAAATGTACACAGAGACGCGTCTGAAGCCGTTTCGATGTACATAAACCTTCTTGTAGATTCCAATGGGTGGAGGTAGAGGTTCGTAATTTCCGTGATATCGTCAGCTTTGCTCCAATTTGATGAAAGACGGAGTCAAGACTTGCGAGGAAAAAACTATGTACCGCCGTCTGATGCTCAAAAGTAAAAATGATAAAAAAATATCAACATTAATTTTCCCTTTAAAAGAAAAGCCGGATTTAAATGACCAGTCCCATCTCCCGAATTGCCGCCTTTAACTCATCATCCAATGATCTTTGTTCGTGGTATTGTGGCGCGCGACAACTAGCGCCAGGTGGATAACGGTCCGACTTGACAGTTGAAAATCTTCACGAGGTACATCTGAAATGTGTTCTCTCCCCGCCTACGGCCTGCGCTGCTGCTCGCCGAAAAATCATACGAAGCGCGTGTGCACTGCACGTTTTTTCGAGGCTCATAGCTTAGCCTAGCTTCTTCAGCTGGGCAGGGATATATATATATATAAAAATTCTCGTGGTTTAATATTACGGACTATAATATACTCGGCGGAGACTGCGTGCGCGCGCGAGTGTCTAGTTCTGTTACACGGCCCGAAAATTGAGATTACTCGTGCCTCGACTCTCCGACGGTGCAGAGCCCCGACAGAGACGGATCTCGTTATAATCTTCCCTCCTCTTGCTGGCTGACACGCGAGATTATTCTCAGATAGGCAGCAACACTCGAGTCGGACTTCTGTTGGCTCTATCTCTCTCTTTCACGACGACCCTATAGAGGATTTACCTTTTAATTTTTGGGATTATGGCAAAGAGCGAGGATCAATGCATCATGAAGCCGTCCAATCGTAAGTAATTTTACATTATCAATTTAACGCTGCCAACTTGCTTCGTCTGCTTTTTCGCGCGGATTATAATTTGTTAGCGAACTGACTCGCTGTCTACAGGAGTGAGGTTATGTTTACCAGTATTGTCATTGGCTCCTCGGGATTCTGTGTTCGGTCGTTTTACAGCTCCTCGCGCCCTTGACATTGCCAGGATTCGAGGGAATGACAATAACTAATGCTAAAAAATTGTACCAAATCACCTATGTAACGTCCGAATTTGTTAAAAATTATTTCGATCGAGTCTTATCCCGCACGTGAAGGTATTTGAAAGGTGTACACGTGCTCGGCTTTGTAACATAATCCGACCTTTTATATTCCACGTGTTAAACGTATTACCTACGTTTTTCTAAATCTCAAAATGGCTTTTTCTATTTTTATACTAGTGCCCTAATTTTTTTTCTAATTTTTTTCCATTTTTTACGTCTGTCTATCTACTTCCCTAAACTTCGATTTTTATAGTATATTTTATATTGTGCTTCAATAGGTGTTTTGACTTCTAATCCTTATCTAGTATAAGTAGTTTTAAATCGTTTTTGGTTCATCAAGAAGTTGTCTATCATCGTTTAAATTTTTAATAATTTTTTACAACATTTTTGATAATATTCAGTTTATTAATTTCTATTTTCATTTTTACAGGTAGGAAGAATAGGAGCAATAAGAACAATTCCAAAATGGAATTGCCAACCACACAAGCATTAGTTGTTTATGTTTCTCGTGAGGATTGGATTAAATCTGTACTTGAAGGAAAGGGTGGAAGGGTCCACAGCCCTGTACATGTACATAAAGTAGAGAGCGTAGTAGAAGAAGAAGTAGTAGATTACACTAATTATAAATTTGAAGATGACATCCTTTATTTAAGATCTCTCGATCCTAAAGAATGGAAGGAACAGGATCACTACGCTGTTCTTGGTATCAAAGAACTCAGACATAAAGCTACAGAGGACGTTATCAAACGTGCGTACAAACACAAAATTCTGAAACATCATCCTGACAAAAGGAAAGCTCAGGGAGAAGAAATCAGAGAAGACGATGATTACTTTACTTGCATAACAAGAGCTTGGGAAACCCTTGGTAATCCAATTAAGAGGAGAAGTTATGATAGCGTTGATCCTAAGTTCAATGATGCCTTACCCGAAGAAAAAGCTGCTAAAGATAACTTTTATGTTGTTATGACAAAAGCTTTTAATGATAATGCTAGATTTTCTAATAAACAACCAGTTCCAAAATTGGGTGATCCTTCTACTCCTAGAGAACAAGTGGAGAGTTTCTATTTGTTCTGGTATGACTTTGATTCCTGGCGTGAATTTTCTTATGAGGATGAAGAGGATAAAGAAAGCGGTCAAGAGTGAGTACATGATTTATGAATTCAAACTTTACATGTTCATATTAATATGAATTAATTTTATTAATTTAATTTTATTTATTAATTACAGCCGTGAAACACGCAAATGGATTGAGAAGAAAAACAAACAAGTCCGTTTGAAAAAGAAAAAAGAGGAAGGAGTTAGAATCCGTACTTTAGTAGATATGGCTTACAATTTAGATCCTAGAATACGTGCTTTCCAACAGGCAGACAAAGAAAAAAAATTAGCTATTAAACGTGCCAAACAAGAAGCAGCTCGGGCTCGCCAATGGGAGGAAGAACGAGAAGCCCGAGAAGCTGCTGAGAAAGAACGTATGGAAAAAGAGAAGAAAGAGGCTGAAGAAAAAGCAAAGGCCATCGAAGCAAAGAAGGAGCGTGATGCTTTGAAAAATGCACTTCGCAGAGAGCGCAAAGCTTTTAGAAATATTTGCAAGGTAAGATTTTAATTCATACTCACTTCATAGAAAATACTTATTTGTAAAATGCAAGAATTGAAAATTTAACTCAATTTCTTATTCTTTACAGGCTGAAAATTACTTTACACAAGACACAGAGGAAATGATAAAACACATGGAGAACGTGGAAAAAGTTTGTGAACTCTTCAAACATACACACCTCGCTGAAGTGACCAAATCGATCACTGAAGAGGGCAAACCAGCTTTCCTTCGAGTTATGCAGGAGGTCGAGGAGAAAATTGAAGCGGAAAGACGCGCTCCTTTCGGCCAATCTGACAGTAAAAACTTGTTGGACAAGCAGGTATTTAGAATTAGGATTAGATAAATAAGACAAACTACAGTAACCAGTATTCTTCTACTTTAAAAAGACGAACAAACCTAATTTAAATAAACATTTAAGAACAAAGACCTATTTTAATAAATGTAAATAAACGCACAAACACCAACACTCCACTGCTTTATTTTATCGTCCCTCATGCAAAACCATAAACAACACTACTCTCAATCATTATTAAAAACTCAATTGACGTAAATGAATAAACAAAACTAAAGTACTAAAAAAATTAAATATAATTATGGATTAAAATAAAAACTTACACTTACAAAATCACACAAAAAAAAATAAATAATAATCAAACCTCATGGTAATAGTCAAGGCTTTGGATATCAATAATTTAAAATAATCGTACAGATCTGTTCTGTTTATTGTTTCTTTATTAAAATGTTTATTAACCAATCTGTTCATATACATTAAATTCTTCTCAAGTTAAATTAGCGACAGAATGTTAATATTGTGAAGAAAAAAAAAAGAAAAAAAGAAACAATAACGAGAAGTACATCGAGGGGTTGAAAACATCTTCTCTCTCTCTCTCTCTCTTTCGGGTGTATTTCACAAAATCCAAAAAAAAAAAGTTCGTTTACATAACTGGCACGTGCTTGACCGAATTGCAGGTGAAAGCTCACACGGCCCCTTGGTCCGAGACGGACCTGCAGCTGCTGATCAAGGCCGTGAATCTGTTCCCGGCCGGGACGAATCAGCGCTGGGAGGTCGTGGCCAACTTCATCAATCAGCACAGCGGCAACGCCGAAGTGCGCCGCGAGGCCAAGGAGGTGCTGGCCAAGGCCAAGGACTTACAGTCCACGGACTTCAGCAAGTCGAGTCTGAAAGAGCAGGCCAACAAGAAGGCCTTCGACAACTTCATCGCCGAGAAGAAGCACAAGGACGTGGACGAGCGCATGCCCGCCGTCACCGAGCGCATCGACAATCCTCTTCAGAATGGTTAGTGTCGCGCTTTCCATTTTTATGCTCCAAGCTGAGCTGCAAGCTTTCCACCCTCGCATTTGTTTCGTTTCAAAAACACAACGTATATTGGCAGGAATAAAAAATTTTTTTATTTATTTATTTTTTGTCTCAAGAAAGACGGAATGTACACGATATAGAGCTTTTAGCTTATATACTTTGGCATATGACGCTCTCGCACAAAACCGATGATTGACTCTCTCTCCTCCTCTGGAAACGTATACACTGTCGTCAACGCATCAACAATTTTGTGCTAAGATCGTCATATCATCTAGCGCTTAAAAGTTATGAACATTACAGGACAGTTTTCATCATTTTAATTAAGCAATTACAATTACTACTCGACTAGGAAATTTTTCTTTATCTCGCAGGAAAAAGAAAATTATTTTTGTTTTGTTTGTATATAATTCGACTAGAGCGTTACAGACTAGATATACCACTATATTTTTTAGATTACATCGTTTATAATCCCTTTACAAGAACACACGAGTATTATTATTACATCGCGATTAATAATCACATGAAGGTGTGTGTGTGTGTAAACCAAAAAAGAGGAGATAAAATACACCGCACGAACCACCGCTACAACAGTCTTCCTTTACATAATAATAATTTCATTGGTATTTAATTTCTTCGTTATATTGACTTGTAACTCTTCTGGGACCAAGCGTCGTCGCTGTGGCTGTGATGATGGCTGCTCGACGGGCTGCTGTCGTCGCTGTGGCTACTGTCCACCGACGAACTCGGCGACGGGGTGGGCCGATGATAGGGTATGGGTCGCTTTCGCGCACTGGTGATCCGTCGACGATCGAGGAAACTCGGCGAGCCGTAGCGTCGAGGTATCGAGGGCGACCTCGAAGATCGCGTCGAACTCCTCGATCGGGAGCTACGATCCGAGCACGAGCCGCTCCTCGACGATCTCGTCGACACGCTGCAGTGCTCGTCGTCGTGGTAGTCGTCGTCGTCGTCGTCGTCGTCGTCATGATCGTGATCGTGATCGGGCTCGAGATCGTTGCAATTATTCCTTGGCCTCGGCGAGTTCAAACTGTCGCGACTGAGACTTCTTTCCTTGAGCGATGCCGTCGTCGCTGTCGCCTCTCTCGATTTTGAGCGAGATCGGCTACGCGGCCGGGTTGACGGTAACGGACTCCTCGATGGGCTCCGTAGTTGTTGCTTGGCTGGACTTCTGATTTCTAACAGTCTCGATAGGGAAGACGTCGTTGTTTTCGCTGGAGCTTTTTCCGGAAGCGGACCTTCGAACACTGCTGTTGGCTCCTGCATCATCGTTTGCGGAAAGAGTTTCGATTGTATCCTCGGGCCCAGTATGTGCAAAGGATAGGCACAATTTTCGTTACTCTTCCTCGACTCCTCTTTAGCCGCGTTCACGACGCTGCTGTTGAGAGTAGAAAAATTCGGTAGAGTTATCAGTGGCTTCGGTTTTATCGTTAAATTATTCGAATGATGTTGATGCTGATTCAGTTGCGGTTGCTGCTCGTTGGCCATAAATCGGTCGGTAAATTTGAAGTTACCGGTAAACTTTGGCCTCAGATCGACGGCTGCTGCAGCCACCGCCGCTGCCTGAGTCTTTTCCAGATTCTGGATGTTCTTCATGAGCAGCAGCTGGTGCTTGGTCATGTCTTCCTTGATGAACGTGTCCTCGTCGTCTCGGTGTAGCGGCAGCGCCGGCGACGGCGATCTGCTCTCCAGTACCAAGCGATTGTCCGTATTGGCCAGAAAGTTGAGCTGTGGCGCCGCCGCCGTCGTCGTCGTCGGTACATTTTTCTCCATTGTCAAGCTCAGTGACTTGTTCTGCTCGATCGGTTTCCTACTTATATTACTCGCGCTCGCCTTAATTTTATCCGCCGACAAAGCGGGCAGTCGAATGATCGGAGGCGGCGGACTGTCCTCTTCCTGCAGCAGCTGCAGCAGTTTATCGTCGTCGTGCTCGGGCGTCGCGCAAGTCGTAGCGGCGCCGAGTACTTCCTCGGCGAAGCTCAGAGTCGGCACGGTCTCTTGGACTCGCTGCTTGCGAGCCAAATATCTGAGCTTTCGTCGCGTTTGTGGATTTCTGGCCATGATCTTCTTGATCTCCTTCACTATTTCCTCGTAATGCTTTTGTCGTTTGTGCGACTTTTTGCTGCTGCTGATAGCCGCCGAACTACTCGTCGTCGGAGACTTTTTACTTCTCGTTTTTGAATTTGCATTAGCTTTGGACGTCGACGAGGTGGACGACGGAGGTGGCATCGGCGGCGAATAGCACTCACCCCTTTTCGCGGCAGGCGTCCCAGAAAAAACGTCGTGATTATCATTATTATAATTATCAGTCGCGATTAGCTGCCGAGCCTTAGCTGCTACTGCTGCTGCTGGAGCAGCCCTTGTGGGTGGAGGCTTGTTGGTCGGAGGCGACTTGCAGTTCTGCTTAGTCATGATAATCTTATCGCTGCTCGACGAACTCTTGTGACAAGTGACCATGTTTTTTTGTTCTCTCCTCGTCACACGCACACGCGACGACGACGATACCTCTTCACGTTCTTCCTTGTATTATTGCTGCTCCTGCCTGTCATGCGTTTCGTCGACTCGCCGCGCGCACACAAACGCTCGACGCACATGTACACGCACTCGCACAAAATTTTTGACTAGATTTTTGATTGCTTCTTACTTATTTCCTTTCTCGTTCAATTTACTCTTTACATTATTATTTTACGGCACTGCAGCGGCAAGTATTATTGCACGAATCTATAATCGAACGGCGTTTAGATAGATGGATTATAGATTTGCCCGAGCTACGTTACAGCAGCAGCAGCAAGTGGTGCGCGAAACAAACGACGTCGGGGTAGTTCGTTGAACGCCTCTCTCGTGTAGCTTCATTTTCTTTTGCAAATTAATCTCATTACAGCACACCTGGGGGGCTGCTAGTGCTACTACCACTACTACTGCTACAACTACACGAGCGACCACCACTGCAAAGCATTTTTCTCTCTTCTCTCTCTCTCTCTCTCTATCCCTCCCTCTCTATTGCACACACTATCTTTCTTGCACCCCGAGACTTAACCTCACTGCCCTATCGCGTTTCAACCCCTTGCGCCAGAGCCACTGTTGCGAAATTCCGTCAAGTCCAAATTCTTCTTCGCTTCTGGCGCACGTATACAGCTTTTAATCGTCGCCTTACGATTTTACACCGAGGAACGAGTTCAAGCTCTTCTTGCGCCTCGCCAACTTTTGCGGAAGAGGAACAAAATGCCTTTTCGCTTTGATATTGACGATCTCGAGTTCTGCTGCTGGCGTTTCTACGCTCACTACACCCTATTATAATGCAGCTGCTGCTGTGCGCTCTCTCTATCCGACCACTAGCACCCCACACGCACACGTACACACATACACGTATGACACGTAGTGGTAGTAAATTTCTTGCGTCGTTGGGTATCTGCCTACTCCCCTCTCTTCTCTCTCTCTCTGGCGATCTACCTACCTACATAGAGTATGAGCTGTCGTTGCTGCTGCTGCTGCCGTTCGCAGGGTGATCGAGAGAGAGAGAGAGAGAATATCGTGTGTGCGCGGTGGAGTATAGTGGTGGCCCTTTAAAAGGGGTGGCTTTCGTGCACTGCGCCTGTGCAGCGGCTTATCCGATATGCTGGCGCGGTACACGGGGAGGCGCATCTATATATGCGGTATTTGTACGTAAGCGGCGATTTAGTATGCGTGCATGCGATTATTGCTTGTCCGTATAGAAAGCTCGAGAGAGAGCGAGGAAGAGGAAGAATGTCACATTATCGATGCGGCGTTTGTAATTTATTGAATTTTTCTTTTTCCATCTACCAGGCAAGCCAAGCAGAGATGAAAAGAAAAAAGCAGCCGCTGCTCCGGCTGAGAAATCAGCGAAATCGACGACGACGACGACCACTGCCAAAGTGCCGGTTAAGGAACCCTCGCCAGCCAAAGAACCCGCCGCCGTGATAGCCAAGGAGTCAGCAGCAGCCACGACGACAACGACAAAAGCAGCCCCACCAAAGTCCGATAAGCCCGTCCCAAAGCCAGCGAAGGTGGTGAACGCGGTGGCACCGACCCCTAAGGAGCAGCCACCGACGACGCCGTCAAAGAAGGAATCGTCTCCTCCGAAAAAAGTGACACTCGTCAATGGACCGAGCTCGCAACAGGCAGCAGCAACGGCATCGACGAAACCCGTGGCAACGGTGGCTCCGATGTCAGCCGTCGTCAACGATGCTACCTCGTCTGCGTCGACGACGACGACAACGACGACGACGACGACGGCGAACAACAATGCCCCGTGGACGCCTACGGAGCAGAAACTCCTGGAGCAAGCCTTGAAAACTTACCCGGCCACCGTGTCGGATCGTTGGGATCAAATAGCCGCCTGTCTGCCTTCGAGAACGAAAAAAGATTGCATGCGCCGATACAAGGTAACGAATTCATATATGCGACGATCGATTTTTTTATAAATGTATGCATGCACACGTTGAGCAAATATTTGATTGTGTCTTTCTGTTTTGTTTCAGGAATTGGTCGAATTGCTAAAAGCAAAGAAAGCAGCGGCGAACTTAAACAAATCATAATGACATTGTAGTTAGATAAAATCACGTTGAAAAATGTCTTCTTGACGTGATTACATTATTAATTTTTGCAAAGAAAAAAAAAAACTAGAATATTTCAATTATTACAAACTGGTCGGCATTAACTTTCAGTACTAACGCATCTGCAAAGGGCAATGTTTTTCCAGATTGACTTGATTTTTATTGACAACTATTTTTGAAGAAAATAAAATAATAAATAATAAATAATAATGATAAATAAAACAAATACCTAGGAAGAGTTCGCGAGCAATTGAACTGTGACGCCGAGCTTTTGTGAAATAAATAAAATAATTTTTAGTAACAAAGTGATCTTTATGATACAAAATATTGAGTTTAGTTTTTAATATTGAAGAACTGTAAATCTTTAAGGATGAAAGCAATCGCCGTTGGGGAGGAGAGTAAATTATTCAATGTTTTTCAATTTTTACTTCTGTCGTTTATTATAATAGAATGATTGTAACTAATGTATTATAACAAAATTGATGCTATAAGATGGCAGATCTAATGATAATGATTAAATCAAATTGTTTGATAGCAAATAAATCGCTCGCAATTGTTATTTCGTCTCTTTTTCATACCCAATGAATAGTTAAATGGTCATAGTCAATTTTTGGTAGGAAAACACAAGTACTTTACACTATTAAATTCTTAATAATTTGACTTATAATGTTATTCATGGCGATAACACCAGCATAAACAATCTTTTCTTAAATTCTTTGGTATATAATGATAGCATTACACATAAGTTAATCTTTCACACCCGATTTAACTCGTTAGTTCTGTTTCGTAATTAATTTCTCAATCATTTTCTTGATGCACATTCAATGAAAATGAATAAATTTTAACATTCATAATAGATTTTTAATAATATTCTATATATCATTGTGCAATATATAACATGTACTCGTGTAAGATGAATATTTACATCACTTTAAAGTGGTTTCAACAATCCAAGTTATTACACGCATATGGTTGAAGGATTCAAAATGTGCAGGACATCGATGTTTTCGTTTATACAAAAAAGAAAAAATCCACTTTCACTGTTACGGAGTCACAAAAACTAAAAACCATTACGAGTTTCAACCGCGATCGACTAAGGTATTTTTAGGTTGTACATTGACACTTTTGTGCGTCATCGCTCTCTAGTCTTTCACAGAGGAGGAAAAATATTTCACCGGTTTAGAGAAAAAAATCTCGAAGAATATCAAATACACATGATGTATAAATCTTTAAAACATTTTACAAACATTAAATAAACTTGTGTGATATTTGTTTCATTTGGCACAACTTCGATTATAAAAAATTGTTTTTCCCACGCTTCCACGTTCTGTGTCGAAGAGTCAAGGAAAAAGTAAACACGGGTAACTCATCAACTCTCGCTGACAATTTTTCAGACGGACGACAACTCTTTCAACATTCGTTCAGATTATCAAAGGATTGAGGAATTTTTACGTTAGACATGACTTTTTAGATTCAGTGGACGATGATGATTTTTTTGTTTTCAATAAAAGTGCGTCTCAAAGTGGTTTTGACAAAGGACCAAGCTTCGTTTATTTAATAGGAAGTATTTTACCGCTCGCTTTTTCTCATATCAACTTCATAACATCATTTATTAATTCTACAATTGCTGGCTTATTGATTATTTTCTTTATTATAATAACTTACAATCGTTTGGTATTTTATACGTTACGATTATTATTATTATTTTTTCTTTAACTATTTGACGAAAACATTTTTTTCATTTTTATTACTTATGTATACCTTCAAACCTTTTATTGGAAAATATTAATAATCATTAACTATTATGTCTCAGTAGCTTGGCCCGCCGTTATTTTTTTTCTTTCGCGATCTCGCCTGTATATAGAAGATCTTTCTCTCTGAACAACAGGATAAAACTTTTTTGTAAAATATTTCAAACATCTTATATTCCGTAAAATAAAACAAAAGGAGGAGGAAACACGTGGTCGTTATTACTTTGTCGTTCAACATTTAGAATTTGCGGTTTATGTACTTCATTCATACAAAGCTAATATTGTTTTTTCTGTGTAATTTATTAAACCTTCGTGTATAAAAATTTGTCAAAACAATGTACAACGTTATTGGCATTTTTTAAAAAAGAAAAACTTTACTCTCGAGGTTGGCACGTGCGTTATGGTAACTAACTTTTTATTACGCGTTTGTAATTAAAACTTTTGTACGTAAAAAAGGAATTTTTCGCGTTGATATTGACCTTGAGCAATTTTTATTTTTATTTTACGATAAGGGCACTTATTGTGAAATAAACCTTGAAAATATGCATTGAAAATCCATTTTTCCTCTTTTTTGTTGCTGTTGTTGTTGTGAATTTGTAAATTTGTGTTTCATATGATTCGCATGTGCGTAAGTTCCATTGTAACAATACAAACAGGTACAAAGGTATAGGTAATAAAAATTATAAAACAGTCCCCCCCTGCGTAACTATCAAAAAATTAGATTTCCTCCTCCTTTTTAACAAAATTTTCTTTTCCCTTATATACTGTATATCATAATAATCTCATTTATGCTAGATGTAACTTCAAAAAATGAAATCTCCGAAGTCTGACGATGAAATATTAGCTGGTCCAAATGAGATTTCCATTTAAGAATACTTATATTTAGGCACTTGATTTTCTCCAGCTATAAACTTGAAATAGTATGAAAAAAAAAGAAAAAAGAAACAATGACGTAATCCTCTTAAACTTATTTACATTATGTATAAGTATTATTTTTAGCGAGACGAGGGGAGAGCTGAGATGGGATATTAAATAGTTTAAGTTCTCGTATCACTTCCTATCGACTAGATATATTTTCTAGTTTTAATGCTTATCAATCTACGTGTTAGTAGGATAAACTTTTTACTTATAAATAGATTTTTAATTATTATTATTAAAAAAAAAAGAAAAAAGAGAACTTGAGCCACCCGATCAGCGATGAGCAACACGAGTAATTTTTCTTTTTATATAAAAACGTTACTTATTTGTACATACGTATTTGTAATTTTTTAATGTAGTTATTATATCATAGCTTATGCTCGTAGTTAAAAATGTCTTTGATTAATTAGAATAATTTGAATTTTTTATCACACGTAATTATTTCTTATCCCATTTATACACGATCTGCGTGTTTTTTCTCTCATATAAATATAATCTATGTGTATATAATTTAAACTCTTTACTTTTTACCAAAATAAGAAGAAACACAAAACTAAAAACTCTTGTATATAAATGCCAACGAAAGAAAAATAAGATCGAAGGGATAATGTTAATAAAAATTAAACTCAATATGTAATATATTATATATAAAAACATCAACTTTGGATAAACGTCGTATACAATATATAGCATAGAGAAACAAGCGCGTGGAGCTGTCATCCAGTGACAGATATCTCGTCTCAAAAAACACGGGTATATCATAGGTAATAATCCTCGATCTCGGCTCTCTCGTCCCTCGATTCCGTAATCCTCGCGAAAATTCCACAACGTTATCATTAATAATAATATCGATACGAATTATAATATAAAATTGTCATTGTTAATATTAAATGTGGATGAATTCAATGTGTTTATAGATTATTTTGAACGTCCAGTTTGATGGGGTGGGTGTAGCACCAATGCGGGGGGACATTATTCATGTATTCATTAATTTATTTTCATGATTACGACGCGCGGAGCATCTTAAGACGAAGGCGACGGCGGCGCGGGTGGCGGATGTTGCTGCTGCTGTTGAAGATGATATTGCTGCTGCTGCTGCTGCTGTTGAAGATAATATTGCTGCTGCTGAGGGAACTGTCGATACTGGGGCTGCTGCTGCGACGGATGATGCACGTCCTGGCGCAGCGGCTGATAATCCGCCGCCATCGGGAACTGCGGCGGCTGCATCATCATCATACTACCGGCACTGGCCGGCCTTTGCTGCTGGTAGCTGTTACCCCAGGCTCGCTGCTGCTGCTGCGGCTGCGGCGGATACAGCTGATCCGGCCTCGGTGGGCTGAGGTGGCTGTTGGCCGCCGCCGCCGCCGCTTGCTGCATCTGCATCTGCCTAATTATCGCCTGGGCCTCCATCTGGGGATAGGGGCGCGGATCGACCTCCATGCGATGGCGCTCCTCGAGAATGAGGCGGGCGGCGCGCTCGAACTGCTCGGGAGTCATGTGCATGGCCTCCTGCATCTCGCGCGACGTCGTCTGCACGAAGTCCTGATCGGCGGCGTACTCCTCGAGGCCCGTTTCCTTCAGCACCTGCGCGCGGTATCAACCAATTTGGTAAATTCGTGTGTTATTATTATTATTATTATTATTTTTTTTTTCATCGTTATGTTCAGTATACTTACGTGACCGACGAGGCTCTCGGCGCTGCCGATCGCGCCGAAGTTGGGCTTGCGATCCCCTGGGCTGCCGGGCAGGCTCTGAGCGAGGCGAGGATTACCCACGCTTCCGTTGCTGTCGTGACCCGAGACTATGCACATTCATTGAATAATAATTATCAAAACTACTGCATTTGTTATAGCCAATTGTATGAGTTTGAATGCTTGGGAGTATAGGTGCACTTTTGAGAGACTACCATAATACGAGTTCGAAAAGCGTTTAGGTGCGTTTAAGGCAGGAAGGGGGTTAAATGAATTAGTGTGTGGCTTGGCGTAAGCATAGCACACTCACAGCAAAAGAAATGTCAACCAAAAATGGTAAGTTAGTATATGGATATGGTTTCCCATTATAATGTGCTGGTGAAATGGGATGAAACAGAAATCATGAAAAAAGCTCTCGTTACATTACTTCGAGTGTGTTACTTTGCTGAAGGATGAAATACATGGCCAAATTGAAATATGCCATTGGATCGGAATGATATAAGCGTGCTTCGAGCGACAACCGATCGACAACCGATTTTTTGTCTTTTATCATTTTTTTATCTTTCTTTTCTGTGTATGCTAACTCGAATTTTGACATATAATGATGGACTAAATGTCTAAACTATAATCTGTGTCAAATATGTTTTGATGTTATATACGTCTGCGAAACGGAAATGTATGTGTCAACTGAAGAACAGCGAGATGAAACATCTATACGCACATAAAATATGTACAGAAATAACGGGCATGCTGAGGCAATATATACTCAACAGGAGGACGACAATATCTGCGGCTTATCTCTCGATTTTATAATTAAATTGAAAAACAACGAAAATGAACAATATCGGCTTGTCGTGACAACGTCAAAATCATCACCTCGGCCGTGATAGGAGGCGCGATGGGGCGGCGGCGGCGTCTCGTGGACCTTCCACTGGGACGCGCTCACGTCGGCCAGGTAGCCGGCCACGGCGATCGCCTGGTTCTGGGCCATTTTCAGGCCGTTGGCGATCGAGCGCGAGCCAGCAGCAGCAGCAGCACCGCTGCTGCTGTGCCTGCGGAAGGTGCCGCTGATGCGGCTGCGCAGCGACGACGAGATGCTCCTCTTCTTCTTCTTCATGCTGGTCTGCGTCGAGGTGGTTCCGTCCTCGGCGCTCGTCACGGTGGTTCTTTTCTTGGCGCCGCTCGCTTCGGAGGACGAGTCGTAGTAAGAGACGCTCGGCGACGAGTTGGTCGGTTCGACCAGCCGATGCTGTTTGACTCGGTAATGGGAGCGCAGAGAGGACGAGATCGGACGACGGGAGGTCGGTGGGGCGGCCCGCACCCAGCCGCCGCTGTCGTCCTTGTTTTGTCCGGAGGTCGTGGTCGAGCTCTCGAGGGATGTCTCGTCCTCGTCCTCTTCCTCCTCCTCTTCCTCTTCTTCCTCGTCCTCGTCGTCGTCGTCGTCGAGCTCAGCTAGCTCAACGTCGTCGTAATCGACGTCGTTCAGTTGGCTCTCGTCGTAGTCGTAGTCGTCGTCGGCTTGACTAACTCCAGCCGTCTCCGATTTGTCTTGCTCCGAATCCTCTTGCGCGTCTCCTTTATTTTATCCAATGTGTGGCATTGTTTGGCGGCAGCAGTGAGGGGTGATATTTTTTATTTCGTTAGTTTTGATGAAAAAGTAGCTAATGGGCGAGATGAAGGTGATGATGATGATGAAGATGGTGAAAATGGGGGCGATGATAATTGCGATGCGATGAGATATGAGATATTCGTAATAATGAAGAAAAGCAACCCGAATTCGATATCGTGTGTATCTATCTACCAATCGAATGAAAAGTAAATCACAAAGTGCAAAACGACCAAGTTATTGAATTCACTGGTTGATTAATTTTCATTCGCTATTATCTATTTGATAGAGAGATGGTGAGTGGAGGCGAAATATCATCGGCGCTGAAGCCACCGGCTCGTACCAGGTCCGTCGTAGCGATAGCGGCTGGACGCGCGTCTGACATTGCGTTGCGCGGATCGTTGTTGCGCGGCGATGTGACAGCGCGGGCAGGGCGGCCCGTCGTGCGGATGCTGGTCGCGCACTATCATGCACATCGGTAGCGCGGACGAGCCGGATGCTGCCTCTGCCCCAGCTCCAGCGGCGGCGCTGAGCGACGTCTCGGCCGACGATCTCAGCGGATTGCGATGCAGGTGGTGAACCTGCTGCCTCAGCGAGGCCATCGGCGACCTGGGCGGCGGCAACGGCGGCCCGGACGGACCTACTGCTGGATGGGCATTGACCGCGGCTGCAGCCGAAGCTGCAGAAGCCGCTGCGGCCTGGTGCTGCTGCTGCTGCTGATGACTTGCCGAGGCGGCGGCGGCGGCACCGAGGGGAGCCCCAGTCACCTGGCACTGGACTCCGTTTTGAAGATGGCTGTTGCTGTGCAAGCGGTACGCACAATGCAGCGTAGAAAGGATAATAAAAAAAAAAGAGAAACAGATGAAATAATTTCTTTACTCTCGGATAATGTAATATCTCAATCGGTGCCGAAGATATAATACTCAATTCTTGGCTACGTAACTACGATCGCGATTGTTTCTTATTTTTACTGCGGCTCTATGTATCTATGTCGAAAACGTGTGTTTGTGTGTATAATAATATAAAACTACTATCAAAGATGATTGACGAAGAGAAAAGGCTGAGAATATAAATAATACATGTAATTTAATGGCTTGTATGTAAAAAAAAATTATAGAATATCCTAAGGCTATCGCTTTTGTATGTATGATCCCAAAAGATCACATTTCCTGTGAGAATGGAGCTTCCGAAGAGCTATTTATACGGTTCAAAGCCTTCTTTTACTTCTCGCATGGAATCGTAGAGATAATATGACATATATATCGACACATGTATTTACAAATATGTGTGTATTTCTCGAAGAATCAAAAAAGGCTGTGAAGAAAATAAAGTCTCGTGAACAAAAGGTTATCGGGTTGTCGAAGCGTATATATAAAATACAGGGGTCGACATCAGGACGTGGTGTCAGCTCCTTTGAAACGATATAGGCATTGACAACGAGACGACGCATAAGATATATATTGGGCTCGATGTAACGATGTATACACACGTATAATAATATAGAGTGATCTTTATTTTCATGCTTCATGCTTCATGCGTGCAATCAGGGACGTAGTACAGCAACAACAACTTTTGGACTTTTTTGCTATCGTTGAAAGGATTATCTATAAATACTCTAAAAAAGGAAGAATAAAGGGGGGCAAAAAATAAAATACTCATGCTTTGGTGAAAAGCTTCAATTAGGCTCTACGATTAGACTAATCAAACTGGAAAATCGTTGATTAGTTATTTCGTATGATTAATTGAACTGCGAAAACGCTCGGAAGTAAAAGAAAAAAGTAAACTATTGTATGGAATCGTCCTGACATTGCTGATCCATGTCTTACCGTAATCTTTACTTGGATGGAGATAGTTACCCATAACTGGCCCACTGAAACGAGGGATTTCGCTTATTCTATTTCCCCAATTTGTAATTTTTTGATTTTTTTTTAAATATAGCAAGGATAAAAGATGATATATTTCAAAAGTAATATCGACATGGTTAAACGGTATATTATATTTATAAAAAGAGGTAAGTACAAAAATATTTTGACACCAATACGTGATGTTCTACTTTTAAACGTTTAAGGAAAAAACATCGATATGTATATCAAAAAATTACGAACGTATAATAAATTGGCAAATAATAATATCAATTTGAAGGAAAATCAAAATATGAAAAACATCGAACAACCGTGCCGGGTCATAATAAAAAATACCGAATATACGGCTCGATTCATATGTACACAGGGTACTCAAATAACGAATATGTAAAACGATTAAAAAAGATAAATATCAAGTACATGGCAATAATTTTTTAAATCCCCGAGCAGCTCTGCCGGTTGGTAATAAAGTGAAAGACACAGATAAACAGTGTGACACACAGAGAGTAAGAGAGAGACAGAGAGAGTCGTATGTGTAGCCTTTTTTTATACATAACTGGAAAAATAAAAAATGCTTTTTTAAACTCATAATATTAAAATGATATTTCGCGACCCGATTTTCGCAGAGAGAAAAAATAATGAAAGAAGCATAAATTATATTATAATAAAGCTCGAAAAAAATGTTTTGTATATTATAATATCAAAATTCTTTTGTACACCATGTAGAAGTTTATAAAAAAAAATCAGTCAAGATACTCGGCCACGTTATTGTCTCATGCACTACACACCGAGAGGGACATAAATTACATTCGCAATTTTGTTTTCATTTCGACGTTTTTATTTTCATTTTTTGCCGAGAAGAAAAAGAGAATTGATTATTCGTCAATCGATTAACCGAATTAGTTTTCAGCCGTGACCTTGTTTTATATCATAGAAAACATAAAAAATATACCCGTAACAAAATCGTTCGCGTTAAAAGAATATATTTATCACTTGCTGAAAATATTATCGTTCGTTAAAAATGATTATCAACAATGCTAATGATTACTCACTTGATCATCCTGCTCAGTGGATTTGGAGTGGCTAGCATCATCTGCATGGGTATGTGCTCTTTCTGTTCGCCGATCATGCGAGGATCCAAACCCGGCATGGGACCGATCGACGCGTTATCGCTCAAACTGCTGTGAAAATTACCGAGAAACATTTGTTATTTTTCATTTTAGATTTAAAAAAATATATAATAAAGATTGGCATTGTAGCCTCAATGCGATATAATACCCAGCGACGTTCGGCACGACTTGGTGAGCTCGCGCGTTCATCATCTGATTCTGTCCATCCGGTCCTCCTCTCTGGAACGAATCATACGACTGGAAATCTATGGAATTACTGGGCGAAACCTTTGGCACAAAAAAAGAACACACACTCAGAGGGATTTCGGGGGTGGAATAGGTTCATTTATTATGGCTTCTATACGATAAGAAATGTAAAACTTATGCCATATAAAGAATACAGATCGCAGAGCTTGCGGGGGCCGCGCGCTTACATAACTGCAAAATCAGAATATTCATTAAGCATAGAATAATAATATAAGAGAAGCCAAAATAATATGATAGAGAAATGTGCATCGTAGAAGAGGGTTTTGCGTGCACGGAAATGGTTTCTCCGCATTATAGCGTGTATATGTCTCGGGAGATTTACAAGAGAATTGTCTCTTTGTTACGATTGCTGTGCTGTCGGTTTTTAAAAGTAACAAAAAGATAAGGTGCACTCAAATCGAAAAAAAACTAGATGTCCCTGGTGGAAATTCTTAAAAATTTTGATGGCCAGTTTTTGTATAACGAAAAAGTTCTGTTCAGGGTTCAGTTACTTGAACATAAAAGGAATATTAAAGCTCATTGAGGCATATTTTATTGCATGCTGCTTGTTATGCTTTGACTTATACAATTGTTTTCATTTTACCACTTACAGGTTTCCAGATAACGACATCTAGTGGTAGAGGATTAAAGTTGTATTATCGTATTTGAGGTGATTGAGACGGGTCCGAATGTTTTGAAACTATTGTTATTTTCAAATCACTTGAAATTCACTTAATTGCTTTGTTTTCAGGGCGATTTTTTTATACAATTATTTAAAAATATTCTGAAATTCGTGAAAATTATCATTTAAACTGTAAACACTTCTTCAATATTAATTTTCTACATTTGAAATTTAAGACGCCCATCGAATTGAGTTTATTATTTTGAGTTTAATAACATTATCGTTACCTCTTGCGCTTAAAAACGAATCGAATTATCGCCAACAGTGGTATTGAATTTCAAGAACCTAAAAATTCACCGCTAGATGGCGAGTACCATTATTTCAGCTAATCTGCAAGTGGCAAAGTCAAAATAATTGTATAAGTTATTCAACTTATACAATTACTAATTTACTGTCGGATTGTTTTGAAGCGGATATTTCATCGGTAGTAACGTTGAGAATTTCTACCGGGGATACGTGCTAAACGAAAAAAAAGAGCAACAAGTGACGCAAATCAATGGAAAATCGGTCTTAAAGAGGGGGCCTAACTCATGGAATATAGAATAAAAGCGAAGGTAAAAGTATGCTCATAAACTCGGTTACCTTGACACCCGCTGTGGTGGGTACTTTAAAGGACTTGGGCCTGTTGAAACTCGTCTTCCTTATGCTCGACCACATGCCGAAGAGGGTGTGATTGGGCCGCCTGTGCATCGGCTCCGGGTCGTCCAGCAGCTCCTCGAGATTGCCCGATATGGCTCGCTTGAGCTCGGGCCCGGCGTCGTGCAGGGTCCTCAGTCCGGCCTGCAGAGTCACCGCGTTGGAGTGATCGTCGCCCATGAGCCTGGCCTCCAGCTCCTTGCGCTTCTTGAAGCGCCTGAAGTAGTCCTGGATGAGGAAGGTGGCGTAGAACTTGCCGACGGTGACCTCGTCCGGTTTGCCCGGAGGCGGCACGCACTGATCCAGCAGCAGGGGCGACGTTCGCTTCCAGATCTTCTTGATGACCGAGCGCAGCTCGGCGTTGCAGTCGTCGATGTTGCCCTCGGTCTTGATCTTCAGCGACGTCCTGACCACGGCGAAGAGGGTGGCGTTGAAGAGCACGGTGCCGTCGGCGTTGAGCGGCATGTTCATCGAGACCAGCCTCTTGCAGGCCACTCGGTGGGGGCAGAGCTTGCCGAAACCCAGCGGGGGCGATATCTTGCGCAGCAGGGTGACGACGTCGAGATGCTTGATGCGGCCCTTGGCGTCCGGATCGTACTCGGACCAGAGCCTCACGAACTCGTCCAGATGATGGGGCCCCAGAATGGACCAGTCGCGCGTCAGATAGTCGAAATTGTCCATGATCACGGCGACGAACAGATTGATGATGAGGAACGAGCAGAGCACGTAGAACGAGATGAAGTAGGGGAAGGCGAGATCGGAGCCGCAGCTGTCGGCGACCTCGTCGGGCGACTCTCCGGGCACCACGACGCAGCGCACCTTCTCGCTGTACGAGCAGGCCATCATGATCTCCTGCCAGGCCTCGCCCGTGGCCGATCTGAACAGCACCAGAACCGACTGGGGGAAATTCTGGAAGTGATTGTTTCGATGGATGGGCGTGTCGTCGTCGATGACGATCTTGCCGAACATCTGCATGCCGATCACGGCGTAGATGAAGAACAGCATGACGATGAGCAGGGCCACATAGGGCAGGGCCTGGAACGACTTGATGAAGGTCCAGAGGAGCGTGCGTATGCCCTCGCCACGACTGAGAAGTTTCACGAGACGCATGACGCGAAACAGTCGGAAGAAGTTGATGGAGAAGCCGACGCTGGGCCCCGAGGTCACCTCGGAGCTGACGATGTCGATGAAGCTGCCCAGCACGATGATGAAGTCGAACACGTTCCAGGCGTCGCCGAAGTAATTCTTGAATTTGAACGCGGCCAACTTCATGATGAACTCCATGGCGAAGACGGTGGTGAATACCATGTTCATGCCGTCGAGCAGCTCGGTGTAGTGCTTCGGCTGCTGGTAAAACTTCATCGCCAGCGTCACCGTGTTCGCCATGATGAGGACGAAGATGATGTACTCGAAGGGCTGAGAGGTGACGAACCACCAGACCTGGTACTGGATGCGATGCTTGGGTATGTAGCGTCGCACGGGCTTGGCCTTGAGCGCGAACTCGATGCAGTTGCGCTGATTCTTGTCCAGCTCGCAGTTCTTGTACTCCTGCTCGCCCTCGTTCTGGAACGTGACGATGACGAAACCCACGAAGATGTTCACCATGAAGAAGGCGATGATGATGATGTAGACGATGTAGTAGGCGGCGACGATCGGCCGGAAGTTGTAGATCGGCCCGTAGTCCTCCTCGTTCGAGTCGATCGATACGTACAGCAATCTGGCGACCGATCAAAGGCTCAGCTGTGATTATGGATTATTTTTTATAAATAAATTATCCACCATTTTACGTACCCGGGCCAACCCTCGAAAGTCGACACGGTGAACAGAGTCAACATGGCTTTACCCACGTCGTCGAAGTGGAACGTGTTTCTCTCCCATCTACGTTCCTCCGTTACCGGCCGGTTGATATTACCATCCTCGTAGTGAATGTAAGTACCCCTGCGAAATTCAAGATAAGATGAAAAGAGATGATTTAACGTTAAGAAGCAAAAAAAATAAACGTTCAACTCACTGGCACTCCTCCGCCGTAGTCTTCGATCTGTCGTTGCACATGAAGAATTTGCCCTGTTTTACGCAGGCGCGTGAACGATGAAAATAACAAAATTACGCGTTATTCACGGGCTCTGCACGTTCGTAAATTTATATACTTCAAAAAAAAAGTAAAGAAAAAAAACCAAGATAGTAAACATGTATATAGAGAAACAGAGTAGTACACCGAATTGCGGAGAGAGCACGATGATTGGAGAAAAAAGAAAAAATAAAAATTACAAGGAAACAGAAATAAAAACGGGAAAAGCTTGTAATAAACACGATCGTTCGAGTACAAAAAAAACGCTGAGATGAAAATTTGAAGAAAAAATGAAATAAAAAAAAGAAGAAGAAGTGAAGGAGATGCGCGCAGGGTTGGAAAGCAGAGAAGCATCAAATAAGCTGTGGATTAAAGTTAATAAGCGGTTTATAATATAAGCTTTATATCGTGAAACTGTGAAATAAAAGTGTAAACGAAATTCAAAAAAATATTTTGTCGTATCCACGGAAAATTTCAATATCAAATAATATATCGTTTTTTTAATAAAATATATTTATTTGCCTATGCGTTATATTTCAGGTGCGTTTCAAAATGGTAAATGATATATATTCTGTGCGATTTATTATTAGTTGTGCGAGTGCTGTTTTTATCTTTTCAAAGGACTACTATGGTTTATTTTATTTTTATTAATAAATTTTTCTTCTGTTCTCGAAACGGGTAAGAAGCCATGACAAATAATGTGGATAAATATACAGTAAAGTTCAACCAAGCGTCAATAATCTACGAAGGATTGGTATATAAGCACATAATGCAGCGCAAATAAAAAACAACATAATGGCGTTCTTCATTATTTCTTCGGGTTTTATATAAACCTGCCTCGTAAACATCCAATTCATTAAAAACAAAAAGAGGAAAGATAAATTCTTCTACGGGGGCAAGCGGCAGGATAGGCATTCAATATTATGACAAACTGTATACGAAGCTACTAAGCAACTAAGCGTCTTATATACAGGTAAATAGATTTGTAGCCATTGTCAAAGCAGTTAGGCAAAATTTATAAGCTTTTTTTTTATGTATACGAAGTCTAACGTGGTCGAGGCTCGCGCGGACGGAGCAAATAAATTTTTATCTATCGATTTATTTTTCTAAAATTATCGTATACAGGCTACGACAGATTTCCTGAGTGCAAGCAATCGCAAACAACAAAGTAACACTGCGAAACGTCAAATTTTTTTTAACTACCAAAATGAAAATTTATGTATCGAGATATAATGATAACAAAGTCCAGCGAATACAACGATCGTAAGATACAGTAAAGAAATTTTTTTTTCATTTTTCAAGTCAAGAGAGATAGAAGAGATGTACAAACAAATAGAAAAAGTATAATAATAGATATCAATAATCTCAACTAACAACAAAAGAGAAATATACAGAGAGAAAAAAGGACAAGTTCTCAATTTTTACCTTGAAAAGTTGCACGCCTATAACGGCAAACATGAACTGTAGGAGATAGGTGACCAACATTATGTTGCCGATAGTTTTTATGGCAACGATCACGCATTTCACTACGTACTATTTTTTTTTTTGCGTTTTTGCATGTGGGTGTGCGGCAGGAACGATTGGATTTTTTTTTTGTAATGTTCAAGCATTGTTCGAAGTTTTTTTTTCGCATTTTGGCGACCACCACAAGACAAAACACACAGGTTTCGGTTTTTGTTTGTTTTTTTTTTTTTTTTGGCGGACACACAGGTGGTGGTGAAGTAGTAGTAGTAGAGGTTCGGTGGGCAGAGATGATCGAGCACACACAGGAGATCGTTTCAATAAACAAAGTAGACAGAAAAAAAAATGACAGAAAAAATACATTACAGCATTAATCAAAAGTACAGTTTGAAATATATTGTGATTAAAAATTAAACTTGATTCAATTATTTTTATCTTATTGATTTTGCTTTCTTTCATTTATCTGTAACTCAATCAACGCGCGAGGTCTGCATTGTGGCAAAGTTTTTTTCATTAATCTTCCAACGATTGAACTCTATTTCGTATTTATAATGAATGCAGGAAACTACATAGGTATATGTACGATTGGCTATATCCTAGTAAATATTTACAACTTCAACACTGATCCTCTCTGAGCGAGTATCGGCCATTTGCTGGTCGAAAATAAAAACTGCCCAGCAGGCAAATTTTATTAAGCCCTATAACGTGACTGGAATACAAAATTCGGAAAAGTGATATTTATCCCGTTGTCTTTTTAGGCTTTTCAATTTTGAACCTTTTCCTCGTTAATTTATGCATGTACACGTTTTTCTCGCTCGGATTGAATTCGCCGTATCATTTCGCCGAGTCACCATGTGAAAAAGAAGACTGTATTATGATTGCCTCGTGATATCGATGCCCCACCCGTTTGCGCTTATCGGATAATACATCTTTGAGTTGTGTATTTTATATATTATCCCTTACACAGCAGAAGAAATCATACTACACGATTTTTTTAAAAGCGATTCCAAGCGCAGCGTAGCATCAATGCAATTTTTATTCTTTGTTAGTCGTCTGAACCTGATTTAATAAAAAGCTCACAACGCTATTTTACTTTATTTTCTTTTTTTTTTGTATTTCCTTCTATCGCTATTTATCCTCTTTCGCCTTTGAATAGATTATGCATGAAACTTATCGAGTACTTCTTTTTTTCAATCCAACGATTGGTATAAATGTAAATAAGATTTTCTATCAAAATTATAAGAAAAGTAAAAAACAAAACATCGATGGCTACTGACACAATGTTTCTAAAACAAACAAAATCTTTTGTCACTCCTAGTTTCTAAACTCAGTAAAAAAGTTTCTAACACATAATCAAAAAAGACTCTTTAACCGTAGCTAAACAACACGCACAGTAAAAAAAAACACTTTTTTCGAACTTATGGGTTCGTATTAGTACTGATCAAACTATAATATAGTACAAAATTATGTTTTCTACCAAATATACACGGATAATCACACGCACATCAAAGTTTTTCAATCTCTAAAACATAAGTACTTTGTCAACTATTGTCATGGCTATCTAAAAAAGAATTTTTATTTTATACACAGAGAGTTAAGTATAATAACGATGCACTTTGAATTTCGTTTCGCACTTGAAATTGATCGGAAAAAATATTGATTTGTTGTTACATTTTTGCTTTTTCTATATAAAAAATCGTTAGTAGTAGGTAAATATACACCACGATCATCGCTCAAAGCTTTGAGAAATTTTCACGAAAAACAACTGTTATTGAAAAAAGGATTGCACTCTCGGCGGGCCGCGATGTGTGCTTATTCACCCGCGGTATCGCTTGTTTTAATTGCGAAGCCAACTAAAAAATAAAAAAAATTATTTTTTTAATCTCTCTTTATCGAAAAATCACTGGCGAACTCTTGGTGGCTTTGGGTAATTTCGATTCGAATTTTTTTTTTATTTAGTTGAACAATTGGACTATTACAAAAAACACAAAAATCGCATAAGACAAATTGAAAACGGCACTATTATTAATTAGAAGGAGATGCATGCTTCGATCACGGTTAATTTTTTGCTGTACAGGTGTCTTGTTATTTTTTTTTCTCTTTTTCTTCAGTGATATTTATAAAATATTATGATTTATGCGAGCGAGTGGCGTGGGTATAATTAAATATAAAAGAAGGGGCGAAGTGGGGGGGTGGATAGAGAAAAAATTGCGATTCGAATTGTTGCGTTTTGTTTCGAGGCGAGGTGGGTTGTTGTTGTTTTTTTCTTGGCTTTCTCAAGAGTCTCCTACCTTAAAGAGTTGCACGCCAACGACGGCAAATACGAACTGCAGGAGGCTGGTGACAAGGACTATGTTGCCGATAGTCTTTACGGCTACGATGACGCATTGCACTACGTGCTAAAGTACCCACACAACATTTTATGATAATTATTTAACAAAAATAGTGAAAACAAAATTGCTTCTTTTTTTTCTGTACTTTAGTTTCTCTCTCTTTTTTTTTTGCTCATTTGCTTGATTGCCTTTTTTTGTTTCTTCGTGTGTTGTCAAATTAAATAAAAAATTACTCTTAAATTCTAGCACCTACGATACACAATATACGTATAATTGGCAGCGATACGTGTGGCTCAGCTTTACTTAATTAAAAATTCATTTGCAAGGAACCTTGGCGTTGAGTTACCTAACTTAATTCTACCTTAAATATTCAATGACAATAAAAAAAAAAAGTATACAAAAAACGAAATCAGATAAAAGCTTCATAAATACCTTGAGTCCTTTGGCACGATTGATGGCCCTGAGAGGCCTCAATACCCTCAAAACTCGTAAAATTTTTACGAAGGATATTGCGCCGCTACTAAAATAGAAAGTCACCAAACTTAGATTGATGAACTTAGATTAGTGCATGCATGGATAGGGGTAACGTGCTGTAAAAAAAAAAAAACATTTGTGCTGAAAATCGCATACGTACTTGAGCTGCGTCGATATGATGGAGACGCAAACGACGACGAGATCGAGAATGTTGAAGGACGAGCGACAGAAAGCGCCCTCGTGAAATATGAAGCCGTAGGTGATGGTCTTGAGGCAGATCTCGATGGTGAAGACCGTGGTGAAGAAGTAGTCGCAGTAGCCGAGAAACTTGTTGCGGAAGGAGGACGGGTCGATGGGGTCCTCGCAGGCCAGTAGGGCCGAGGAGATCATGATGCAGCCGAGAATGAAGTTGCCGAAGTTGGGGTGATTGCAGAGCCAGTGGCAGAAGACGCGGAAACGATTGTCCTGGCTGAAGATGAAGAAGGAGGTGCCCGCGGGTATGGGCAGGATCGGGGTGCCCTCCTCGACCTCCGAGAGGCGGCGAGGTCGCGCGGTACTTCGGCCGTTTTCGACGTCTTCTATGGGTAATATACACGATGGTTCATAAAATTGAATCGCAGCAAAGAAAAGAAAGCTCACCTCCGTTATCCTCCATCTCGGACTCCTCCATCTCGTCTTCGTAGCTGTAATCCTCGGAACCGCTTCCGTCTTTCTCCATCGATCTGTGGCACGCACACACAAAAAAAAACGTCATGCACGAAAAAAAAAAATAGATAATGGTAAGATGGCCATGGTATAGCTAACCCAGCGTCCGCGGAGCCCTCGATCGATCCCTCCTGATGATCCTGCTCGGACGAGGTGGCGCCCTCGTACTCGTCGCCGCCGGTGTCGTCGGCGTCGCGCTCCTCCTCCAGGCTCGAGGCGTCCCCTCGCTTGGGCGAGCCGCTCAGCGATTTCTGGAATAGCGTTTCAAAATAAACAAAATTCGGGTAACGAGATATATAGGGCAAAGGGGGATGAGGTATACCAACGATTAGTGAACAAACAAATCGATTCGATGAAGAAACAAAAAGGAAAAAAAGGATGAGAGCTTTGACGCGTCCTCTCGGCAATGGAGCAGCTCTCTCTCTCTCTCTCTCTCTCGTCGATTCTATGATCTGCGAGAGGGAGTGTATGTGTGTGCATGAAAGAGAGAGAGAGAGAGAAACGGTGCCGAGGTCACGTGCGCTGCATATGCATCGTTCATGTGTACAATAATAATAACAATAATAATACTGTGCGCTGTAACAATTGACACCATCGACGGCCTGTGCAGAGTGTATCGTGTACACCGACGAGACAGAGAGCTATTTCTGCGCCCTCGTATTTAATACCCGATCGTTCGAGCTATAGTAGGTGAAGCAATATATCGATGCGATAGATACGTTCGCGCGATGATGTGTTTGGTATAAGGAGATGAAAAAATGAGGTAAAATATAATTTACCCGGCCCTCTTCCTCGTTCTCGTCCTTCTCGATGGTGGTGAGGGACTCGGCGTCGGCCAAGTTGTCCACCGCGATGGCCAAGAAGACGTTCAGTAGGATGTCTGATTACGCTCGTGTTCAGGAAAAATAATACTCCGTAGATCCTGTATTCGATTCGATTGATTTTTTTTTCTTTTGAAAAAGGATACAGTTACCGCAGATGAACAGTATGATATAGTAAATACTGGCCAATGCGCCAGAGCTATCCACTCCGCCGTAAGCCCTGATACCCGTGTACATGACGACGTTCCAATCCTCGCCCGTCAGAATCTGAAACACGGTCAGCAGACTCTGCAGGAAAGTGTCGAAATTCGCCCTCGGCTTGTCCTCCTCGGTGCTGAAATTGAACTTGCCACCGAAGACCTGCATTCCCAGCAGCGCGAAAATCACGATGAACAGGAACAGCAGCAGCAGGAGCGAGGCGATCGATTGGATCGAGTTGAGCAGCGAAGCGACGAGATTCGAGAGAGATCGCCAGTACTTGGTGATCTTGAAGACTCGAAGAAGACGCACGCAACGCAACACCGAGACGCCGAGGGGTGGCATGATCCCCGTGTTCGTGAGGACCATCTCGCTGATCGAGCCCACCACGACGAAGCAGTCGAAGCGATTGAAGAGCGAGACGAAGTAGCCGTTGAGCCCGAGACTGTACATCTTGACGAGCATCTCCAAGGAGAACAGCACGATGAAGAGCATATTCGTCGTTTCTGCGAAAGGGAAAGAGATGATCGGATATAATTTTAAGACGATTATCTCGTTATATATAATTAACCGCAGGCATGTAAGAGACGCGACGACAAAGTCAATGTCACGGGGTTAATCGCGGCTTATATCGAAATGCTCTCGACTCACCTTGAAACTGATCGAGCCACAGGGGCTGCTGATAGTGCTCCGTAGCCAGCACGCCCGTGTTCAAGAACACCAGCAATATGATGAGCCAGTAGAAATTCTGCGACTTGACGGCCTTGCGACACATCCTCTTGATCCTGCGATTCTTCCTGCTCCAGTCCTTCTTCTTCTTCTGCCAGAAGGTCTCGGGCTTGGGCTGATTCTCGACGTCCTGCTCGTCCTGCGGCTCCCCCCCGGCTTGCGAGCCGGCCTCGCCGTTGTTGCCGTCGCCTCCGTCCCCGTCGCCGCCGCCGCCGCCGCCGCCGCCGTCGCTGTTGCTTTTGTTGTGATGCTTCTGCGACTGACGATGATGAAGGTGATGCTGATGCTCCTCGTTCTTGTCCTCGATGTCGGCCTCGATGTCCTCGGCCTGGGTGATCCACTCGAGGTAGCCGCGGAGATCGTCCTCGAGCTGCTGCTTCTCGCGCAACTTTTGAAAATCGCCACGATTTTTAGCCTTTTCACGCTCCTTGGAGAACTCCCCGGACAACACACCGAGAATCAGGTTCATGACGAAGAAGGCGCCGAGGATGACGAGAGAGACGAAGTAAGTCCACTCCCATGAATTTCCCATGGCGTCTTGGATCTGTGTAACAGTGATGGGTAAAAAATGCAATGAGCACAAAAAAAAAGAATATGATCCCTAATGAAAATAATAAAGAAGTTCTTATCTTATGTAAGAACTTAGGTATAGTCTTATTTCAGATCTTGAATAAAAAAAGAATTTTTTCTACGTAACAATATTATTTTCGAGAAACTAGATTAATCCAGCAATCAAAAAATAATTTATATCCATACTTTTATTTAAGATCTTACAAGAGAATATGTTCTTGTGCAAAAAATTTCTTAAAAATTTAGAGTTTTCAATTTTAATCAGTTTCTACGTAATTTTTATTGTTAAATTATTCGTAAGATTTTACGTAAGATTGTATTTCAAGTAAATCCATGCCAAAAAATTACATAAAAACTTGTTTAACATTTTCATTGAGAATAAAGAAATATCAATGAGAAACGTACCGAGTAGAGAACATCGGTCCATCCCTCCAGAGTGACGCACTGAAACACCGTCAACATGGCCAGACCAAAATTGTCAAAGTTACTGATTCCGTAGTTGGGTCCGACCCAGAATTTGTCGGCGTCGCAGTACCACTCGGGTCCGAGGGTCGAGCACTGATAGCCGCTCGTCCCGCAGGGATGCGGATCCGACCACATCTCGCCGGTGATGTTGTTCCAGCAGGTGGTGTGCAGCTTGCCGGAGAAGAGCTCGAGGCCGATGATCGCGTAGATGATGATGACGAAGATGACGAGCAGGGCGATGTGCAGCAGCGGTACCATGGCCCGCAGAATCGAGTTCAACACGACTTGCAAACCTGTTCAAGAAAAAGGGAGAGACGATCGATCGCGTGAGTGGTGCAGCTCTCGAGCGTATATTATAAACGAGGCGAAAATCGATGTGGAATGTCGCAGCGGCAACAGCGAGAGAGGAGAAAATTAACAATGTAACGAAGCTGTGATACTCACTGGGTACACCCGAGACGAGCCTGAGTGGCCGAAGCACACGGAAGGCACGTAGGGCCTTGACGTCGAAGCCCTCCTTCATGAAGGTCGTGAGCACCGTGCTTATCATGCTGCACCATCGCGCAATAATAACGATAAACAAAAAAGGGCATGTATTAGTCTCGATGTCGATGTCTAACGAGCAGAATTAACACAATAATTACCCTATCACGACGATGGTGAAATCGAGCAGATTCCAGCCGTTGCGCAGGTAGGCGCCCTGATGCATCAGGAAGCCGTAAGCTATGATCTTCATGCCGCACTCGGACGTGAATATCACCAGGAAGATGTATTCGATTTTTTCCTGCGATAACGCAAATTCACGTTTGAGTGTTTTTTTTTTTTTTATTTCGAGTCACGATTACGCTCGTGAAAACTTACCAGGTACAAGTTGGTCGCGTTGGAATCCGAGTACGGGTAGGGCGTGTAGACGGCCAGCGCGACGCAATTCGCGAATATGGTCATCAATATGAGCCACTCGAACGGTCTGTGCATAGGTAAATTCAATCGCGTCAAGTACAACAAGGTAAATGCGCCAAATTTTTTCGTTCTACTCACTTCCACTCGACGACGGCGATGCATAGCTTCCTGATGGGATTCTTCAAACCGAAGCAGAAGAGGGCCCGAGCGGGCCTGTCCGGCTGGGCCTTGTTGCCGCGGCGCACCTGCTTCTTGGCCATGGCCTTCTCGGCGATGCGGTCGGCCGCTCGTTGCTCGGCCGTACGATCGTACGGCGGACGGAGGATCTTCTCCGTGTCGCCGGCGCCGCCGTTGTTGTTGTTGAGGCCGTTGGGCCCGCCGGCGGCGACCAGCGACAGGCCGTTCTGACTGCCCCCATTCTGCTGCGCTTGATAAGTCAACTGGTCCTGCGAAGCATCGCAATTATTATTTATACAAAAAGAGCTGTAACGTATAGAATTAATTTCTCTGGTAGAAATGATCATAATTAATAATTGCACGATGGCCAGAAAATTAACATTCAAAATGCTTTAGAATGCATCGCCATTAGTTGGCTTGTTTTTTGCGATTCCGCTGTAACAATTGTGTTAAAACTATGAGGCGCACTTTAAATGATCTAAAAATGACAATTAACTGTTTTAAAAAGTTTACATTAGTTTTCCACCTTTTTAAATACAGTGATACGACTTTGAGTATTCGCCACAAGATGGCGAGTACCTTTGTTTGAAATCCTTCAAGTGGCGAAGTAAAAAATATGTGTATAAATCAAAGCGATAAATTCGATTGTATAAATCTTTTGCTTTTTTTTTAAATTCAATATAGTAAAATTGATCATAAAAAAAAACGTGAAACATAGTATATAAAATATCGAAAAACACGTTACACTTTTCGTTACTGTATGTCGAGGTTCTGAAGGACCTTTTGTGTCAAAGAAAAAATTTCCTCGTTCAAAAATGTTAAGCATTTCTAGCAGAGACAAAATCTGGCGTCGAACTTAAAGTGACCGATGCTAAATTTCATTCCAGATACTCGTACGAAAAAATCTTCTTTGATAAAGAATGAACCGGTGCTAGTTTATTATTATTATTTTTTTTTTTTATACGAGCTGCACAAAAATGCACGAAAATGAAAAATTTCTTGATCCAACGCTTCAATTTAAACATTCAGATTAAAAAATTAGCGTTCCGATATTAATTAATTTTTCGCTTCGAAACCGTCGGCAAATTCTAATAAAAAACGAAAGCCAACCTCGGCCACTAGATGACGAGGATACGGTTTATTTTCCAATCCGCAAGCGTTAAAGTTGAAATAATTGTATAAGTAAAGCAGGGTTCTTCTACTCTTTTATATCAATTTCGATGTTACTATTCGGCACTTACCGGTGGATAAAGCGAGTCCTTTTGAGCCTCACCGTTGGCCGGCAGCTGGTGGGCTGGGTGCGGCGGCGCAGTGCCGCCATTCGCGGTGCTCATCGGTTCCTATCGCGCATAGACCCGACAGACCTGCTACCGGGGTACTTTCTGCACCCTGCCTCGCTCTCGACCAAGAAAAAGAATCAGAGAAGCGGGTAAGGCTAATCCTTCTTTCTTTTCTTCTTCTACGTGCTGCTGCTGGGCCAAAGACTTCTGGTAGCAGAGGTCGATGATCTTTTCCTTCTTCTGCGTTTGCGCCTTACGCTGACTATCGGTATCGTCGTCGTAACGACGATCGCCGAGGATTTATCTGCGCGAATGAGCAGCGGCCGACTACGACTACGTGGATGATGACGATGTGCTGCTGCTGCTGCGTAGGTCACGACGACGGGGGCCAGCCGCATGCTACGGCCTGGACACCTGGATCGTCGTCGTCTTCGTTGTTGCTGTCGCTGTCTTCGTCGAGCTTTCCAAAGCTACTTCGACGATTCTCGTGCTGTGGAGGGGCAGTCAACTATATATATTCAGACATTCGTATGCAAATCAAGGCAAATATTATTCGTATATATGGTTGATTCTCCTGAAATCTGCTTTTTGCATGTCTTTATGCCATATTCTTAAACTAGTGAAGATGAGCCAAAACTGGCTCGGTCATTCATTCAATATTGTTGTATTCTTCATGATAGGACATAAATATTTCAATTTTTTAGCGTCAGTTAAATTTGCCGTGAAGATATACATGCCAAATGTCACCTCCGTGGCATGTCTACATCTCAAAATCAACTCTATTTGCATGTACCATGCATTCTCATTAGCACCTGACCCTATAATAACTATGAGACCAGCTTCTATACATTCAGAGTAAAGTTTAAGTCTATTGTAGGGCTTTGAAAAATGTTTTAAAAAAATTTCCCACGCAATTGAAAAATGTCTCGGATTTTAATCATGCTTCTGAATAATTTCAAACATACCGCCTGCTTTGGGTCGCTAACTCATTTTTGATGTCGCTAGATACGTAAATGTCAAGTATTATAGCCCAGCCTTCGATTGGTGTAGGTTGCGGGTTCAAATTTTACATTTTATCGATGCTGCGATAATTATTCTATTGAAAAATTCACGTGTGTCAAAAAAACGGTCACCTCCGTGGACATGAATATCTCGAGCTATGATGATTCTTTTTAACCGCTCGCCCCGTCAAAAGACTCGTTTTTCATGACCAAATTTCGGGTTGTGCGGAAAATTTTGTGCGTTTCTTATTTTTCTTACATAGTTGATCAAAGCAGCGATTTGTCACCTCCGTGTGTGTCACCTCTGTAACCGAAAATAGTCAATTTTAAGCATAAAATCGGACATAGTTTTCGTAAAACGAAATCTCAAAGCCCCAGATTCAATAATTATTCATATTTTATGGTTTAAAAAAGGGTAAACTAGTTCGCGCCGTTCAATATGACAAAAAAATTTTCACCATTTTTTCGTTTTCCATACCCGAAAAAGCAGATTTCGGGAGAATCAACCATATACACAATAATAACAAAAGTTATGTACGAGTTATTTCGTTCGCTCGCGCTCGAAGATAGATCCTCGAGGGAAATTCATAGCAGCGGCGCGAATATACATACTACACAAGAAATAGTCAAGTATATGTCGCGCGCCAAGTAGCGCGGAAAAGGAACAAAGTGACTACTACTATCCTATGCGACGTTCGATCGCGCGCGCCTCGTCTCCGGGGCGCGTAAATGACAAATTGAAGCCCTGCGCCACGAGTTTGTGTTTATACCGTGCCTTGTGCCTTATCGTCCGGGCGAATCGAGTCTTTGCCGCGCGTCGCGTCGCGTCGTTCGATACAACGACTATTTTACCAATCGATAGATTGTATAGCTCGAGAGAGTGAGTCGAGAGCGGCTTGCGATGATTAATGACGCTGACTGCTGCCGCTGTTACGTGTGTATTTATTTACGATTGTAGTCGTCGTGCTGCTGCAGTGTCGAGTCCTCCTAATGCGTGTGCCCGACAAAACCATTGCTCCGATCTAAATGTAACTAAATACAATTTGTGGGCTAGCGTAATTGAACGAGAGCGGGAATACCTATTCGCGTGCGTGCGTTAGCGTGTTATGTCAGAGAGAGAGAGAGAGACACTCGAGTTGCGCGTCGTCGATCAGAGCCAGAATTCTATAACGATCGGTCGACGAATAATTAATGAAAATTAGCGACAATCGCGATGATGCGTGTGCGTATTGCAGCTGCAGAGGGACACACGTGCGCGCGTGGATTTGTCGTGTCGAGTGGGCCACCCCCGCTCTACAAATTTCTACGAAAACAATTGGCATTCGAGGAAGGAGGTGAAAAAAAGTGCATCCGGTCTGTAAAGGGCGCGCGGCGCGAGTACTCGATTTTTCGAGTTTGTAGTTGTTTGTAAAGTTTTTTTATTATGCGCTGTAACAGGGTAACGAATGATTATCCATCGAGAATAATCGCGTTTAACAATTTACATATCTCAACGAACCAGAAGTGGATTAAATATAATGTATAAATGATTAGGAATTAAGGGTTGAATTAGGCCTCGAACCTTAAATAAGTATTTAACAAATAATTAATTGAGCTCGACTACTGCGACGTTTGAGAGTAATGCGCCTGAGAGATAGAGAGAGAGCTAAAAAATACGAGCAATTACTTACAATGGGGCAATAAAGCTTTTGTGGCTGTAGGCTCGATTTCGGCACACAATAATTTACGCGTCGTGATTAGTTACAAAAGAAAATTAAATTATAAATTCATAAACGACTCGTGATCGAGTAACGATAAGATCTCGTTCAAATGTCACGACAGATTCGGCGTTTGAACTTGTGTCAGCGAGACGTGAACCAAATTTCCCTCTCCCTTTCCTATGTAGCCGACGTACGTTTGCAGCTCGCATCGAACGGCAGATGATCCTGAAGTCGCTTATAAGCTGAACTAACATCTCGAAATGATCGTGTCAACAAACAATGGGGCAACTATAACGTAGAGAGCGATTGGCAAAAAAAAGGGACAATTTACATAGCCAATATCATGGCTTCTCAGCGAAGAAAGGTATACAAGTAAAAAGCGGAATAGTAGCTTATTTTTATCATTATTACCGTAACTCTAAGATAGCATTTTGCCACTAAGTGTAAAACTATAACTTTCGTGTTCTTGCAGGCGACTACATAATAGGCACACTGCGGAAGCAATTGCGTTGCCACACGTGACGCATCGTCCTAGCGAGGGACGTACCTTATACAATAATACATAGACAAACTCGCGCGCCTCGTTGCGTCGCTCGACGATCGATCGAGATCGATTGGCTATACAACATCGGCTCGAAGCAACGAGAAGAAAAATAAAATGCGACAAACGTTTCGTTGTTACGCGCGAAAAGCTCGACGCGGTATTTCGCAACTCTCTGACGTGCTGCTGTCTTCTTTGCGAGTAGCTCTGACGAGCTGCAGCTGTGAGTCGACGTAGTTATACATCCGCGTATAAGAAGGTGAAGCTTAGAAACTCGCGCGATAACAACAATGATATTGCTTACGCGCGAGAGAGAGTGAGAGAGAGAGATATAAAAAGCTCGAGCCGTAAGAAGACAGCCGCGAGGGTTGTAAAAAAAAAAAAAAAGGAAAAAGTCGCGCAATTTGCCTCGTCATCTCTGTGCCTATGTCTTTAAAGCTCGCGCGGTGACACATCAAAGCCTCCGTCCCTCGTGGAGCGAGAGAGGGTAATTGCAGCTCAGCGGCCACTCAGTCTCATTTTCTCTTCCTGTGCAGTGCACTTTCTCTCCCTCTTCTTACGTGCGCACGACTCTTTACTACTACAAGAGAGACGGAGCGAGAGAGAGAGCTTAAAAAAGCTTGCATCTTGCTCAAGACGTTGCCGAGGCGCGCGCGGAAAAACGTTGCCTAATGCAATTGTGTCTCGGTTACGAGAGTTTCTCCTCGCGGATGAATTTTTCATAGCTCCACGAAGCTCTCTCTCTCTCTCTCTCTTGGCTCGTTTTCTCGTTTCTCAGCTCTCTCTCGTCTTCTCCGTCTTCTTCTTCTTCTTCTTCTTATGTTTTTTTCCTCTTCTTCCCCTGCTCTATCTATCTATATAAACCTTTATATATATACATCCCGGAAACGCACGTCGAAGGGAAATCGCGCGCAAAACTTTTTTTTTCTCCCAGATATATATACATATAATGTATATGTATATAGAACGCAACGCGTGTCACAAATTCGATAAAGCGCGTTCCACCGTGTAGCTATAGTGAAAATTACATCATATTATTCTGCCATGTAGAGCAGCGACAGCAGCTGAAATATGGGGGAGGTGGTCATCGGGACTGTGCGCGCCTTTGGAAATAACATTAGCAAACGCCGAGGGAGCCTTTGATCTTTCGACTCTTGAGTCTTGATGTGTGTGTGTATTACGTATGTATGTTCGTACAACATGGGCAGTAGTAGAACAGGATGTATATAGAACTCACATGCGCAACATGCGAGAGAGAGAGAGAATAGCGTAACGACGTATGGTGTGTGTTGTATAGGTCAGCTGCTCTCACATACGAGTATATATGTACGTGTGTGTATGTGTGTATAGAGGCGCGATAGAATATTGATCGAATTTCCATGACCGCAACACAAAGTGCACACGTACACGCGCACACCTTGCGAGACCATATAACGTATATACAACTACACATGCACAGAGACTCCTAAGTACTCTAAGGGTACGCGCATGGGCATGTGTGCGAGCATACTTCATGCATTTAACGCCGACTATCGATAGACTTGACGCGTGTATGTGTGTATGTATAGCGATCGGGTCGTAAAGCTCGCGAGTCTCTCTTACAGGAGTTGCGGTAGTAGTTTTAGAACTGCACTGGGCGAAAAACTTGGCTGCGCCTTATAGGATGTAGCCCGCAGTACATAATTATGTGTATATATAGTATATAAGTTTGAGCGATCGACAGCACGCTGCACGCGTCATAGCAGGGCCATGTTGTATATGGTTCGGGCACTTCGGGACAAGTTTCGTGTAGCTGTATGTATACGTATGAACTTGACGCGCCGAATAACGTCAACTCGTGTACTCGCCTTTGCCTGTAAATATGTAATATAAAGCTTTCATCCGAATTGAAACGTTAAGTTGACCGACTCTCTCCGCGTATACATTCAAGTTTCGCCCGAGAGTAATTTATGTTTGTGCTTTAATTATGCCCATTTTCCTTGACTTTTCTCTTGATTAAATTCAATTAGAAGATTATTCTCGCGCTCTTTATACTAGTATTTGAACTCTTTCAATTGCATGGTGTAGCAGGATTTTTTTTTTAATATTTTTATATTTTTAATGTGTGCTACAGACAACTCTGGTCCCTTTATACAAGGTGCTCTGTTAACGCACAATTGATTTAAGACTTTTTATTTAGAAATGATCAGGGGCTTATCAATAGAAACAATCGAGACTCATTTTTTTAATCAATTTATTTAAATTATAC